TCCCACACTTACTAGATCACACACACTTACTAGATCTCCCACACTCACACTTACTAGATCTCCCACACTTACTAGATCTCCCACACTTACTAGATTTCCCACACTTACTAGATCTCCCACACTCACACTTACTAGATATCCCACACTTACTAGATCTCACACACTTACTAGATCTCCCACGCTTATTAGATCTCCCACACTCACAATTACTAGATCTCCAATACTCACACTTACTAGATCTCCCACACTTACTAGATCTCACACACTCACACTTACTAGATCTCCCACACTCACACTTACTAGATATCCCACACTTACTAGATCTCACACACTTACTAGATCTCCCACACTCACACTTACTAGATCTCCCACACTTACTAGATCTCCCACACTCACACTTACTAGATCTCCCACACACTCTCCACTTACTACTCCCACACTTACTAGATCTCCCACACTTACTAGATCTCCCACACTTATTAGATCTCCCACACTCACACTTACTAGATCTCCCACACTTACTAGATCTCCCACACTTACTAGATCTCCCACACTCACACTTACTAGATATCCCACACTTACTAGATCTCCCACACTTACTAGATCTCACACACTTACTAGATCTCCCACACTCACACTTACTAGATCTCCCACACTTACTAGATTCCCCACACTTACTAGATCTCACACACTCACACTTACTAGATCTCCCACGGTTTCTAGATCTCCCACACTTACTAGATCTCCCACACTTAATAGATCTCCCACACTCACACTTACTAGATCTCCCACACTTACTAGATCTCACACACTTACTAGATCTCCCACACTCACACTTACTAGATCTCCCATACTCACACTTACTAGATCTCCCACACTTATTAGATCTCCCATACTCACACTTACTAGATCTCCCACACTCACACTTACTAGATCTCCCACACTCACACTTACTAGATCTCACACACTCACACTTACTAGATCTTCCACGGTTTATAGATCTCCCACGCTTACTAGATCTTACACACTTACTGGATCTCCCACACTCACACTTACTAGATCTCCCACATTACACTTACTAGATCTCTCACACTTACTAGATCTCACACATTCACACTTACTAGATCTCCCACACTTACTCGATCTCACACACTCACACTTACTAGATCTCCCACACTTACTAGATCTCCCACACTCACACTTACTAGATATCCCACACTTACTAGATTTCCCACACTTACTAGATCTCCCACACTCACACTTACTAGATATCCACACAAGGTGTATGCACACTTACTTAGATCTCACACAGTGTACACTTCTGTCCACACTTACTGATCTCCCACACTCCACTGTGATAGCTCACACATTACAAGATCTCTAACACTCACACTTACTACACTTTTGTGCATGTGAAGTGGCCTCCTTATTGTAATGTCCCACACTGATTACTAGATCTCCAAACCACACTTAATGTCCCACACTTTGATATATGGTCCCTCACACTTACTAGATCTCCCACACTTATTAGATCTCCCATACTCACACTTACTAGATCTCCCACACTTATTAGATCTTCCATACTCACACTTACTAGATCTCCCACACTCACACTTACTAGATCTCCCACACTTATTAGATCTCCCATACTCACACTTACTAGATCTCCCACACTCACACTTACTAGATCTCCCATACTCACACTTACTAGATCTCCCACACTTACTAGATTCCACACTTATTGATCTCTTACTCACACTACTAGATCTCACTTGACAACACACTGTACTTACTGTGTAAATTAGACAGTGATAAACCATGGGGAAGTATTTTTCTTGTCTCCAAAAGGAAGTGCTGCAACCAGTTGTATATTAATCCAGTTCAGGATCAAGTATATAACTGTTGACATTACTGTGGTTGTTTTCCTTCCGCTAGAAACCTCTACAGATGATACAGACAGTAGTGACATACAGGTTGTATCCATATTCAGACACAAGGCAGGCTTGTACACAAGTATCCCTTACATACGTTTACAAAATTTCGTTTTTCGTGTACATGTATCAACTGCCTTGGTAGGAAATATTTTGATAAGATGCATTGTCACTGTGAGAGCTGCTAGAGTTAAGTTATTAAATTTCTGACATAAAATTATTGGTTTCTAATGTTAACACTAGCATCTGTCCAACATCACGAAGGTTCATTTCTCCATCAGTATTTTGTATTATTTATAACTCCTGCCGCTGGCAAAGCAGTGAATACAGGTTGTATCCATTTGTCTGACACAAGGCAGGCATGTACACAAGTTCACATACGTTTAAAAATTTCAGTAATGTATCAACTGCCTTGGTCAGGAAATATTTTGATAAGACTTGCCTGTGAGAGCTGAGGTTAAAGATTAAATTTCTGACATAAAATTATTGGTCAATGTTTACACTAGCATCTGTGCAACATGGTGTTATTTCTGTATTTTGTATTACTTATAACTCCTATGCAACAAAAATAGGGGGTTGTTGGTCTGTCTATTTGTCTGAATGAACGGACGGATGGACAACCAACTCATTGAGTTGTGAAACAATTTCAATAAGAAATTTCAGAAGAAGTTTCAGACTTGCCTGAGGAGGTTAAAGAACTGAATGACGTAACATAACTGAGATCAAGTTTAATGTGCATAATGGTGTTATCCTGTTTCAGACTTGCCTGAGGAGGTTAAAGATCTCAATGACGTAACTGCGGTCAAGTTTATTGTGTGTGGTGGTGTTATTCTGTTTCAGACTTTCCTGAGGAGGTTAAAGATCTGAATGAGTAACTGCGGTCAAGTTTATTGTGTCTGCGGTCAAGTTTATTGTGTGTGGTGGTGTTATTCTGTTTCAGACTTTCCTGAGGAGGTTAAAGATCTGAATGACGTAACTGCGGTCAAGTTTATTGTGTATGATGGTGTTATTCTGTCTTAGACTTGCCTGAGGAGGTTAAAGATCTCAATGACGTAACTGCGGTCAAGTTTATTGTGTGTGGTGGTGTTATTCTGTTTCAGACTTTCCTGAGGAGGTTAAAGATCTCAATGACGTAACTGCGGTCAAGTTTATTGTGTGTGGTGGTGTTATTCTGTTTCAGACTTTCCTGAGGAGGTTAAAGATCTGAATGACGTAACTGCGGTCAAGTTTATTGTGTATGATGGTGTTTTATTTTATATATCAATTATTGTAAGTAGAGTATTCACATTGAAAATATTTGCGAAAAAGGTATTAAAACAATTGGGCGTCTTACGTAAATTTAAATATATATTAAATAGGAAAACTTTAAGTAAAATGTTCAGATCATATATTCTGCCTATACTAGAATACTGTTGTAAGGTATGGGATAGGTGTACTCTCGGTGACGCAGACAAATTAGAAAAAAAACTTCAGCTAGAGACTGCGAGGATCATTACTACTTTGCCTTCGTACTCTATAAATTCTTTGTATCTTGGATCTGGCTTTGAATCTCTATCCGAACGAAGAACTAGACGGAAATTACAGTTATTCTATACAATTCATAACAATCTTACACCTTATTATCTTCCTTCTCTACTACCCCCGTCTGTATCAGACACCTCCCGATATAATCTCCGATTTTCCGACAATTAGTCTTTTCCCAATTATCGACTTCAGTCAACAGCATTGTCTTTTTTTCCTTCTACAGTCCGACTCTGGAATCATTTAAATCTCGTTATTAGACACAGTGTGTCATAAACAGTTTTTAAAAGTAATCTTCGCAGGGAAAATATAGTACAAATCCCTATGTATTATCTAATTGGTGACCGAAAAAGTAACATCTTATATACCAGACTGAGAACTAACTCTAGTACACTACACGAGCACTTATTCCATGCCAATTTAATAGATTTTCGTCACTGTCACTGTGGACATCCAATGAAGATACATTTCACTTCTTCTTTGTCTGCAATAATTATGCAGGTCAGAGAATTACTCTCTACCGCGAACTAAATCATTTTATTCCACTTAACCTGCAGCTTTTTACTACATGATAATACTGAATTATCCGTTCAAGAAAGCGTGTTAATAGCAACAAAAACACAACAATTTATTGTAGAAACTAAGAGATTCTGAACATTGTTTTACTTGCACTCCCTTTCTGTCCTGATTATTCCCCTTCTTCTATATCTATATTGCCACATTCTCTCTCTCAAGTTAAGTTGAAAACTGTTTTAGTTAAGTATAAAAGTCTAAATTTTGTATTAAGTAACGATCCTGCCGATGTCAACGGCACAAGAGAAACGTATTTCCAAGGACGAACGGAGTGAAAAGGAGAACGCAAATCAAAGCATGGGATGTGATGAACAATAGATAAGTCGAAAGTTTTTGAAAAGTGTGTAGTGTCAACTTCTACCGTCGGTGTCGGAGGGGGACTGTCCTCATTCTAAGTATAAGTATGTATATTTGTATATGTTAAAAAGTAGCTATGTATGTTTTTAATCCCCCCCTTCTCTGTCTGTCCCTCCCCTCCCCCCCCCTCTCTCTCTCTCTCTCTCTCTCTCTCTCTCTCTCTCTCTCTCTCTCTCTCTCTCTCTCTCTCCCTTGTATATATAGATATGCATGTATGTAACATGCCATCTTCTAAATATGTGTATTGTTCTATTTTTTGGGGTTAGGGCTTAATTTAAGTTAGCAAACTTATGCTTAAATCCCATTTGTACTTATTTGACAAAATAAATATATTTAAATCAAAAAAGGATCTGATTAACATAACTGCGGTCAAGTTTAATGTGTATGATGGTGTTATTCTGTTTCAGACTTGCCTGAGGAGGTTAAAGATCTGAATGACATAACTGCGGTCAAGTTTAACGTGTATGATGGTGTTATTCTGTTTCAGACTTGCCTGAGGAGGTTAAAGATCTCAATGACATAACTGCGGTCAAGTTTAATGTGTATGATGGTGTTATTCTGTTTCAGACTTGCCTGAGGAGGTTAAAGATCTGATTGACATAACTGCGGTCAAGTTTAATGTGTATGATGGTGTTATTCTGTTTCAGACTTGCCTGAGGAGGTTAAAGATCTGATTGACATAACTGCGGTCAAGTTTAATGTGTATGATGGTATTATTCTGTTTCAGACTTGCCTGAGGAGGTTAAAGATCTGATTGACATAACTGCGGTCAAGTTTAATGTGTATGGTGGTGTTATTCTGTTTCAGACTTGCCTGAGGAGGTTAAAGATCTGATTGACATAACTGCGGTCAAGTTTAATGTGTATGATGATACCTTTACTCATCACACTCTCCTGTATGAACTCACTGACCAGCACCGAGGAAAGGATGCGTTCCTTATTGTCCGAAGGGGTCAACCATTTCAGATGACCATTACCTGTGACAGGCCTTATGACCCCGAAAAAGATGAGTTAAAACTGATCTTTCAGACAGGTATGATATGGCCTGAATTAGCGGATTTTTTAATTAAAGGGTATGCATACTTGTACCTAAAGAATAAGCAAGTGAGACAGACACAAATTGTGTGTATTGAAGAAGATATTACATTAGTGGTAATGGTAACATCCAAATCAGCATTTTTTACTCATTACATATACAGAAGATTTGGTACAGAGCGAAACCTTCATGATGGATGGAATATCATAATATCAGATATCAAAAATAAGTTAAACTGTAAAGTATAAAAACGTCACTTTATATATAAAGATATCCCAATAGGTTTGTTAATCTGTGATAAGTATGAAAACGTCACTTTATATATAAAGATATCCCAATAAGTTTGTTAATCTATCATATAATGACACCTTCTCTTTAAATATGAAAATATCACCAAAAGGGGGTTGTACTGTAATAAGTATAGCCTCGTCATTTTGCATATTAATCTTGTATTTGTTAAACAATAGGTGACCAGCCACTGCCCACGAAGGGAACACTAGTGGAGATGATCTTATCCGATGCTGACCGTCCTAAGCAATGGGGGGCTAAGTTAATTAAATGCTCCAGCAATGACCTTTACCTAGAGGTGACAACTCCCCCATCCTGTTCAGTTGGGCGCTGGAAGGTCAAGGTTAGATCTGTACAGAAGACAGGGGAAACACGCCCACTTTCGAAAATCTACAGCCACACACCACATATCTACATACTGTTTAATCCTTGGTGTAAAGGTATGTACCTGTCTGTATGTTAATTACCTGGTATAAAGGTATGTACCTGTCTGTATGTTAATTACCAGGTATAAAGGTATGTACCTGTCTGTACTGTTAATTACCTGGTGTAAAGGTATGTACCTGTCTGTACTGTTAATTACCTGTTAATTACCTGGTGTAAAGGTATGTACCTGTCTGTACTGTTAATTACCTGGTATAAAGTTATGTAACTGTCTGTACTGTTAATTACCTGGTATAAAGGTATGTACCTGTCTGTATGTTAATTACCTGGTATAAAGGTATGTACCTGTCTGTACTGTTAATTACCTGGTGTAAAGGTATGTACCTGTCTGTACTGTTAATTACCTGGTATAAAGGTATGTACCTGTCTGTATGTTAATTACCTGGTATAAAGGTATGTACCTGTCTGTATGTTAATTACCTGGTATAAAGGTATGTACCTGTCTGTATGTTAATTACCTGGTATAAAGGTATGTACCTGTCTGTATGTTAATTACCTGGTATAAAGGTATGTACCTGTCTGTACTGTTAATTACCTGGTATAAAGGTATGTACCTGTCTGTATGTTTATTACCTGGTATAAAGGTATGTACCTGTCTGTATGTTTATTACCTGGTGTAAAGGTATGTACCTGTCTGTATGTTAATTACCTGGTATAAAGGTATGTACCTGTCTGTACTGTTAATTACCTGGTATAAAGGTATGTACCTGTCTGTATGTTAATTACCTGGTATAAAGGTATGTACCTGTCTGTATGTTAATTACCTGGTATAAGGGTATATACCTGTTTGTGTACTGGGTGATAAATATGTCTGTAAGATCTCTGTATCTGTAATAGTTATCAACATTAAATTGATATTGACGTAGATGACCAGGTTTTCCTTGATGATGACAAACAACTTGATGAGTATGTCTTGAATGATACCGGAAAAGTCTTTGTTGGGAACACGAAGAGAATCTATGGTCGACCTTGGATTTTTGGACAGGTATGTTGGGTGTGAATGTTCTACAGATGTCAAGTTTTATGGCAAAATTTTAGTGTTTTTGTAGGGATTTTTTGACAGCATGTTGATCTCAAAGTTGTGTTTAATTCAAATAAGTTTTCAGTGAAAGTTATACCAAAGGCCAAAGAATTCTTTAAAATCTTGCCTGTCCTGACTTTATTTTGTCCAAATTTTGTCTGAAGCATTTTAGGCGAAGCTGTCTTCAATTGTTATATCTCATAAGCAGTTATTCTCCTTAGGCCTGAGAGATAAGCCATATGGAGCAAACTCTTTAAAATCCTTTTTTTCCTGTTGGAATGTCTGGATTCTGTCCCTATTGTGTCTGAGGCATGCTTGATGAAGGACATAATTGTATAAATATTTTGGCTGGCTACCTGGGGCAGAGGGGTGGGGCCCAATGGAGAAATAGAGATAAATCATTTAACTTCCTACTCCTTCAGTCTAGATAAAGTAATTTCAGCAAATCAAATCCAGTTGAGCGATATAAGCCATATGGGATTTGTTTGTTTGTTGTAGTTTGAGAACCCCGTGTTGGACTGTGTCCTTGACCTTTTGGACAAGAACAGATTTCCAGCAACATTGAGAGGAGACGCTGTCCAGGTTGTTCGCAAGTTAACTGCTCTGGTAAGTGACATTGATGTATACTGTATATACTACAACTATATCTAGTACATTGTATTTAGATAATTTTAACCCCACTCCCATCCCCTCCAACGAAGTTCAAACTGGTTCCATCCAGCCTTCTATTTGTCCGGAGACTACTTTCCACATTATATCCCTTGAAAGGTTTTGATGACACTTGGTTGATACACTTGTTACCTTAATCAATTGCCAAAGTTCGATTAACAGCAAATTCCGCGTGTATATAATGATGCCGCTGTGACCTGATTGGCTGATATCTTTATCACACTCGGATATCTTTTGAAAGACTGGTAGGATTCTGATGACACTTGGTTGTTAACTTAATCCTTTGCCCAAGTTTGATTAATACTTCACATAATTAATGAGACTACTGTGACCTGATTGGCTGATTTCTTTAATCGCTCTTTGGGAAATCTTTCTACACATTATCTTATGAAGGAATGCTAGGATTTTAAGGAAACTTTCTGGATTGACTACTTTAATTCCTTGATCATGTTCGATAATCGGCAAATTCTATGCATATTTTAGGAGACTATTGTGACCTGATTGGCTGATATGTTTTGGCACTCTAACTTGAATGCTTTCCATGCGTTATTTTTTGAAGGAACAAATGAATTATGATGAGACTTGCTCTGTAGACTTGTTACTGTAACCCATTGTTCAAGTCTGATTATCGGTGAATTTTGTGCATATTTAATGAGGCTGCTCTGACCTGATTGACTGATTTTTTTGTCCAGTTTTCCATGTTGCTCTCTTCAAATGTATATATTTTACAAATGACCATGGGCGGGGGGATCTTGATGACTATGTCCTTGTTATTTGATATCATCAGTATGTTGAGTGTTATTTTATGTGCAGGTAAACTCATCAGACGATGACAACGGTGTTGTGACAGGTAACTGGTCAGGTGACTATGAGGGAGGGAAAAAGCCAACATCCTGGACAGGAAGTGTGGCCATCTTGGACGAATACTATAAGACAAAGCTACCTGTGAAATATGGACAGTGTTGGGTTTTCTCTGCTGTAATGACCACCTGTGAGTAACTGATAAGGTGTTTTAACCCATCATCTGATGTAGTTATCATCTGGGGTGCTGATCATCACCAGTCCTTAAACAATTCTTGCTGTCATTATTTCTTTAGAAGTAATGGGGGGATCTTTTTCATATCTTAACGATATGTTTCCCTTTGTTTCCTAGTTGTGCCTTTACCTTTTGAGACGTGGCCATTTTGTATTTTGACAATGGGTTTTTGTTATTTTTCAACAGAATTTCATGGATCTATCTGAAAACCATCTTGGATTATGGCAATAGAAATGTGTAATCAATTATTCTTGAGAAGGATATGATTATTTTTTCTCAATTTTTGTATTAGAGTTTCCTTTGGTCCCTTGCTGTTTCCTTTTATTTCGGAGACTGATCAGGAAAACAAACTGAATGACAGGTAGCCATTTTGGATCATATCTACAGAAAGCCAATAGAGATATTGAAATGGAGGGTGCTGGAATATCTTGGGGATCTCTCATTTCTATCTATTTCTTTTTAAGGATTTACGTAGTAGAGCCAACACCGTTCGTACTAGGTAGATTGCGTGCTAGGTTCCTTTACTTTTCTAGTGTGGGAGGTGACAGCTATTGTAATGTAAATATAGAAACGCGTTCGTAGTTTTATTGTACAGTTTGGTTCCGAGACAGCCCGAGAAACTGTACACTTCCATGAGGCAATGAACCAGTACCACCAATCCATTAAGCCTACGTTTGAGGTCAACCACACAGTGGTAAACTTCCTTGATACCACTATTTACAGATTCCCTGGTGGTAGTCATGGAACCAAACTTCAATAAACCTCCAAACGTGTTCTATATTTACATTACAATAGCTGTCACCCGGCACACCAGAAAAAGAGCATCCCGTTTTCCCAAACACTTAGAATAAGGAAAATTTGTAGCAACCAGGTACATTGTGAGCAAGAATGTTTACTTTTTTCTCTTCATCAAGAGGGGTAATACGTATGTGAGTTATCGCGTGATAATACGTCACAATGTGATTGTAGAGTAGTCATGGAATAGGGTACCAGAATCATAGTACTTTGGGCCTAAAAATTGTAATACTGTCATCCTGATGAAGTCCAGAGAGGGCGAAACCGGTAGACGGTTGATAATAAACATAAAAACACTACTCGGAAGCTGTTATGATTGATATTCTGTACCCGATATTTCATGTCTGTTGCTTTACAGTCAGTGGTTTCAGATAAAGTAAACCTTTAGTGAATTGGTGTGTATAAACATTAAGATTTGGTTGTAACAGTAAAATGTTGAAGGATAATCTGTAACAGCAGGAAGCAATAAAAACAAAACATTTCTTAATGTCAAATGGTGAAACAGGAAACAGAGCTATTTTTACCATAGTTCATTCAGACAAATGATGCCTGATATTAAGCGTATAACTACATATCTTTTATTTCTATACATCAATAAACATTATGTATAAAGAATTACAATTGAAATAACTATCGGAGACATGTATCGATTTAGCAGCATTTTCTACTGATATTTTATCAATCCTTCTTTACAATACTTGATCATCATGTGCTTTAGGTTGTCGAGCCCTAGGCATACCCACACGAAGTATTACCAACTTTGCCTCAGCTCATGATACTGATGTCTCAATCTCTATTGACTACCACTTTGATGAGGAAGGAAACCCTATGAAAGAATACAACATGGACTCAGTCTGGTATATCACACATTACCTTATATAAAAACTGAGTTAATGCAATGATGGTACCCAGAAACTTCAAAACCATCAGGCCTTCCTGAACCTAAACGAAAGTAATCAATACCATTAACACTTCACCTAATATAGGCCAACCTGAACCTACAGGGGAGATAATTAGGATCACAAACATTAAACCAATAGGCCAACCTTAACCTACAGCGGAGATAATTGTACCACAAACACTAAACCAATAGGCATGACTGAACCTACAGGGGAGATAATTAGTATCACAAACACTAAAACAATAGGCCTAACTGAACCTTCCGGGGAGATAATTAGTAATACAAACACTAAACCAATTGGCCAACCTAAACCTAGAGGGGAGATAATTAGTACCACAAACACTAAACCAATAGGCCTAACTGAACTGACAGGGGAGATAATAAGTAATAAAAACACTAAACCAATAGACTAACCTGAACCTACAGGGGAGATAATAAGTACCACAAACACTAAACCAATAGGCCTAACTGAACCTTCCGGGGAGATAATTAGTACCACAAACACTAAACCAACAGGCCTAACTGACCCTACAAGGGAGATAATTAGTAATACAAACACTAAACCAATAGACCAACCTGAACCTACAGGGGAGATAATAAGTACCACAAACACTAAACCAATAGGCCTAACTGACCCTACAAGGGAGATAATTAGTAATACAAACACTAAACCAATAGACCAACCTGAACCTACAGGGGAGATAATAAGTACCACAAACACTAAACCAATAGGCCAACCTGAATCTACAGGGGAGATAATTAGTACCACAAACACTAAACCAATAGGCATGACTGAACCTACAGGGGAGATAATAAGTACCACAAACACTAAACCAACAGGCCTAACTGACCCTACAGGGGAGATCATTAGTACCACGAACACTAAAACAATAGGCCAACCTGAACCTACAGGGGAGATAATAAGTACCACAAACACTAAACCAATAGGCCTAACTGACCCTACAGGGGAGATCATTAGTACCACAAACACTAAACCAATAGGCATGACTGAACCTACAGGGGAGATAATTAGTATCACAAACACTTAACCAATAGGCCAACCTTAACCTACAGCGGAGATAATTGTACCACAAACACTAAACCAATAGGCCAACCTGAACCTACAGGGGAGATAATAAGTACCACAAACACTAAACCAATAGGCCTAACTGACCCTACAGGGGAGATCATTAGTACCACGAACATTAAAAAAATTGGCCAACCTAAACCTAGAGGGGAGATAATTAGTACCACAAACACTAAACCAATAGGCCTAACTGAACCTTCCGGGGAGATAATTAGTAATACAAACACTAAACCAATAGGCCAACCTAAACCTAGAGGGGAGATAATTAGTACCACAAACACTAAACCAATAGGCCTAACTGAACCTTCCGGGGAGATAATTAGTAATACAAACACTAAACCAATTGGCCAACCTAAACCTAGAGGGGAGATAATTAGTACCACAAACACTAAACCAATAGGCCTAACTGAACCTTCCGGGGAGATAATTAGTAATACAAACACTAAACCAATTGGCCAACCTAAACCTAGAGGGGAGATAATTAGTACCACAAACACTAAACCAATAGGCCTAACTGAACTGACAGGGGAGATAATAAGTAATAAAAACACTAAACCAATTGGCCAACCTAAACCTAGAGGGGAGATAATTAGTACCACAAACACTAAACCAATAGGCCTAACTGAACTGACAGGGGAAATAATAAGTAATAAAAACACTAAACCAATAGACCAACCTTAACCTACAGGGGAGATAATAAGTACCACAAACACTAAACCAACAGGCCTAACTGACCCTACAGGGGAGATGATTAGTACCACGAACACTAAAACAATAGGCCAACCTGAACCTACAGGGGAGATAATAAGTACCACAAACACTAAACCAATAGGCCTAACTGACCCTACAGGGGAGATCATTAGTACCACGAACACTAAAACTATAGGCCAACCTGAACCTAGAGGGGAGATAATTAGTACCACAAACACTAAACCAATAGGCCTAACTGACCCTACAGGGGAGATAATTAGTACCACAATCACTAAACCAATAGGCCTAACTGAACTTACAGGGGAGATAATTAGTACCACAAACACTAAACCAATAGGCCTAACTGACCATACAGGGGAGATAATTAGTTATACAAACACTAAAACAATAGGCCTTACTTAAACTACATTTGAGATAATTAGAACCACAAACACTAAACCAATAAGCCAACCTTAACCTACAGGGGAGATAATTAGTATCACAAACACTAAACCAATAGGCCTAACTGAACCTACAGGGGAGATAATTAGTATCACAAACACTAAACCAATAGGCCTAACTGAACCTAAAAGGGAGATAATTTATACCAAAAACACTAAACCTACTTAGATGTTAATAGCATTATTAATGATAAAATGACTTCATAGAAAAGAGTTGAAAAACAAAATGTTTTCTCCCAACAGGAACTTTCATGTGTGGAATGATGTGTGGATGGCACGTCCTGATATTACGAACCAGGAATACGGAGGCTGGCAGGCATGTGATGCTACTCCACAGGAAACCAGTCAAGGTATTTTACTTAATAGTCCAGCTAGTTGTTACATTCAGCAGAATACAATTTTTTCACTATTTACCTCTGCCTGATTCACTAGAATAATTAAGATATTTAACATTAGATAGACTAGCCACCAAAAATGAGTTTACAATTTGTAGACACTGATTGAACCAGAAGATTATCATATAGTGTTTCTATTACAGGACTGTATCGCTGTGGACCCTGCCCTCTCATGGCCATTAAGAACGGGAATGTAAATGTTCCCTATGATGGACAATTTATATTCGCAGAAGTAAATGCTGACAAAGTATACTGGCAAAGGGTTGATGGCACAATGAAGAAAATCAAAGTCAAAAGTCAAGGGTAATTTTTCATTTAAAATTTTCAGGTTTTAATGTTGCATACAGTTTTAGTTAACAGACCAAAAAAATCATTATTTGTGTCAAAAAGACCAAAGACCAATGGCTCCCACCATTAAATCTTTATATCATGGGGACAATTGGCTTCCATCATTCAAGAACTTATGCCCCAGAGGAATTTTGATTCCCACCATTGAATGGTTTTTATTTGTCCTCTGCAAGACTGATCTTTTCTTTTCTCTCTTGCTCTCCTTGTAATCATTTGGTAACCTTGAAATACCATATATGAAATCAGGCCCCACTTGTATAAAACATCTCAACTTGAGATTTCAAGTCGAGATTTTCCTCAGCTGATATCTCCTCAAAAACGGCTTGTATGAAATTTTCTCAATGAACAGGAGGAAGGCATCGGCTAGGATGTCCTGAAATTCCTTGAGGAATTTTCATACAAGATATTATCAAGGAGATATTAGCTGAGGAAAATCTGGGCTTGAGGAAATCTCAAGTTGAGATATTTTAAACAAGTGGGGCCTGGTATAAGAACTAGCTGACAGTTACTAACTTCAGCTGTCAAAGTCCAGTCTCTGGTCAGCCATTTAGTATACTTCAACACAGAACTACCTAGGTAAATGAGAACAACTCAAGACCATTGGGAACTTAGTAGTTAAGTTTCAGAGATATCTTTATAACATATTTCAGCTCATTTCAGCAAAATGAAGATGATCAACTGTCTGGTACAATGAAAGACCATGGGGAACAAACACATTAAGTTTGAGAAATATCTTCTAGAGTATACTTCAAATAATAGCAATATTAAACTTCAGATAACAAAAAATCTTGAGCAAGCAATAACCACAAACTTCAATGGTCAAAATCCAAGATGGTTCCCTATTGGCCAATTGGTTTCACAGATTGCACCTTAAAAATGAATGGGTACCATAATGGACAGGGGAACTAACATCTTTAATTTGAAAAATGTCCTTTTAGTACTTCTCAAGAAATAGCGAGGGCAAAACACCAATTTTTCAAAATCCAAGATGGCTACCTGTATGTCTGTTTGTGTCACTGCATTGATCAATCTCAAAATCAAATGGGCACCAGTAGGGACAGAGAGGAACCCACATCTTAAGTTTGAGAATATCCTTCCAGTACTTCTCAAGAAATGATGAGATGATAACACTAACAGTAATCCTCCATCTGATGGTGATTGTAATAGTGCTGGCTCCGTAATGTTTGTCTTGATAGATACATCTTTACATAGATGCACAAATTGTAATAATTTGCAATAGAACATTCCAGTAAAAGAATGTTTCACTAATTTTGTTCATTGCAGCAAGCGCTATATTTACATAGTGCCAGGGTCTGGGTCAAAGGTCAAGGCCATAACCACAAAATGTATGGTTATGTATGTTATCCACATGTCATACAGTCGTGTCTACAATAGTCTGAATAAACTGCCCAATCCTTTCATGATACTTCACTGAACTGTCTCTGTCATAAAGTAAAATGTTGATGCCAAAGGTTATGTTCTCAGCAGCTTTATACCATTTTGTCTGGAAGAATCAGGTAACAAATGCTTCACTGATTTTAATGAGGACAAAACCTTAGTTTCTGACATTATATACCAGGTCCCCATCACGCTGTAGGTCGAGATGCAGGGACAAGGTCACATCAGTTAAAGATAAATACAATCACTGAATTGTTTCTTACACCTGGCTTGGACCTGTATGAAGTGTAAAGGTCATAAGTCGAAGGTCAATGTTAAATTAACTCATTGTTAACATTACCTTTTCTGTAAACATTATAGAAGAAAAAAACATACTAGGCCAATCATAATGAGATTATGTGGAACCTTATATCAAGGCTTAGGTGCATCAAATATATGCTTTATTCTCAAATATAAAAAATGTTTGCCTATTACAAATCAATAAGGAATTGTCTCGGCTTGAAGTGCCTTTTTATGTTTATAACACAAGTATTAAGCATGATATTTTCAGGCATTCAGTGTAACCATATTCTACATTCAGTGTGATATCATCCAACATTCAGTGTAACATTATTTTACATTCAGTGTGACCTTATTTTATATTCATTTGTGCCCTTTTTATATTCAGTGTGACGTTGTTTTACATTCAGTGTGACCTTATTTTACATTCATTGTGAACTTATTTTACATTCAGTATGACGTTATTTTTCATTCAGTGTGATGTTATTTTATATTCAGTGTTACTTGATTTTACATTCAATGTGACCTTATTTTACATTAAGTGTGACCTTTTATCCATTCAGTGTGACCTTATTTTTCATTCAGTGTCACAATATTTTATATTCAGTGTTACCTTATTTTACTTTCAGTGTGACCTTATTTTACATTCATTGTGAACTTATTTTACATTTAGTGTGACCTTATTTTACATTCATTGTAAACTTATTTTACATTTAGTGTGACCTTATTTTACATTCATTGTGAACTTATTTTACATTTAGTGTGACCTTATTTTACATTCATTGTGAACTTATTTTACATTTAGTGTGACCTTATTTTACATTCATTGTGAACTTATTTTACATTTAGTGTGACCTTATATTACATTCATTGTGAACTTATTTTACATTTAGTGTGACCTTATATTACATTCATTGTGAACTTATTTTACATTCAGTGTGACCTTACTTTACATTCATTGTGAACTTATTTTACATTTAGTGTGACCTTATTTTACATTCATTGTGAACTTATTTTACATTTAGTGTGACCTTATTTTACATTCATTGTGACAATATTTTACATTCAGTGTGACCTTACTTTACATTCAGTGTGACCTTATTTTACATTCAGTGTGACCTTATTTTACATTCAATGTGACCTTATTTTACATTCAGTGTGACCTTATTTTACATTCAGTGTGACCTTATTTTACATTCAGTGTGACCTTATTTTACATTCAATGTGACCTTATTTTACATTCAGTGTGACTTTATTTTTCATCCAGTGTTACCTTATTTTTCATTCAGTGTGACCTTACTTTACATTCAGTGTGACCTTACTTTACATTCAGTGTGACCTTACTTTACATTCAGTGTGACCTTATTTTACATTCAGTGTGACCTTATTTTACATTCAATGTGACCTTATTTTACATTCAGTGTTACCTTATTTTACATTCAGTGTGACCTTACTTTACATTCAATGTGACCTTATTTTACATTCAGTGTTACCTTATTTTACATTCAATGTGACCTTATTTTACATTCAGTGTGACCTTATTTTACATTCAGTGTGACCTTATTTTACATTCAGTGTGACCTTATTTTACATTCAGTGTGACCTTACTTTACATTCAATGTGACCTTATTTTACATTCAGTGTGACCTTATTTTTCATTCAGTGTTCCCTTATTTTTCATTTAGTGTGTCCTTAGTTTACATTCAGTGTGTCCTTAATTTACATTCAGTGTGACCTTATTTTTCCTTCAGTGTGACCTTATTTTACATTTAGTGTGACCTTACTTTACATTCAGTGTAACGTTATTTTACATTCAGTATGACCTTATTTTACATTAAGTGTGACCTTATTTTCATTCAGTGTTCCCTTATTTTACATTTAGTGTGACCTTACTTTACATTCAGTGTGACCTTATTTTACATTCAGTATGACCTTATTTTACATTAAGTGTGACCTTATTTTCATTCAGTGTTCCCTTATTTTACATTTAGTGTGACATTACTTTACATTCAGTGTGACCTTATTTTACATTCAGTGTGACCTTATTTTACATTTAGTGTGACCTTACTTTACATTCAGTGTAACGTTATTTTACATTCAGTATGACCTTATTTTACATTAAGTGTGACCTTATTTTCATTCAGTGTTCCCTTATTTTACATTTAGTGTGACATTACTTTACATTCAGTGTGACCTTATTTTACATTCAGTGTAACGTTATTTTACATTCAGTGTTTCCTTATTTTACATTTATTATGTCCTTATTTTTCATTCAGTGGGATCTTATTTAATATTTAGCTTTTGTTTTGTTTGCAGTGTTGGTCAGTATATAAGTACCTTGAGACCTAAGGCCATGGAGAGCTTCAGTTCCTCCTTACAGTCCCCATGTAGGGACAGTCGCTGGGATGACATCACTAGCCAATACAAGTACACAGAAGGTAACTCTATCATACATCAAAAGGTTTTCTCTTTCAATCTGGAAATGTCACTATTCATAATTTGGTTATCAATATATTTATCCTTGTCAGTGTCAGTTGTAAGACACATCTAGAAACGCAGGTATTCACTTCATCATTTTCAACATTTTGAAATGCTGGAATATTTGTAAAATGAAATGAAAATATCAGTATATTTCCAGTTCATAAATCATGCCTTTCCCAGTTAATGCTCAATATAATTGATGAAACACCAAATGGAAATTGAGTACCATCTCCAAATTTCTTGATATAACTTATTTCTTACTTGTTTAGAATGCATAGAATTTTTCATTAGACTGTATGTGTTTTAAGTATCTAAGTCATGTAATGTTACATGTCAAAGGTCAGATGAGTCAGTGTATAGTAATGTTGAAGTGATAACGCATTATTACTTTATTTTGTAACATTTTCTTTGTTAAATTTAGGTCATAGGTGAAGATATATGTTTATGTCATGTTATAAAAGATACAGTGAAATCTGAGTCAAGGTATATCTGGGATGGTAGGTAAATGTTGTCACAAATACCAAGGTACAAATGGACAGTCCAATTCACTCTGTTTGTAATATGTTTTTGACTGGACAAAACAAACAATTTGCAACAGTATATGTAGATAGTCACAATATTCTTATATTTGTGTTGATGATTCGTTATTGTTGTGTATTACGTACTAATTGTTGTTGTTTACAATGACGTAACCAGTAAAACTCAATTTGTAGTGTGATTGTCTTACCTCGTATGGAACTTATTTTGCTACTGTCAGCCAAATATGAGCTGTTACATAAACCTGAATATTCTTATATCTATTTATAATCATCACAGTGTATATCTATATATAACCATCACAGCATATATTTATATACAACCATCTCATTATGGAATTACTTGTATTACAGATGTAGACACATTGTGGATTTCCCCTAAATACCTGTATTTCAGAACTAGACTTGTACAATGCTGTTTCAATAGTGCACCAAATATATTAAAGACATACTTAAGTTAAATGTAAATTTATTTCATTCCAATATGAGATGATTAAATAGATACAGCAAACCACAATTTGAAAAGGGTATTAACACAAGTAACTTTAAAGACTGTTGAAGTTACTCTAACTACACATCAAAGCATCTCAGTTGAGACAACCTCTTGAAGACAGGATTTAGCCTTTTACGATGTCACCATAGCTCTTTTACACCTGTGTGACCTTTAAACATAAAAATAATTCAAATGTGTTCAAGGTCATATGGCATCTAGAATTGAGTAGGTGATTTAATTGCCTTTATTTGTGTTATGTTGTGGTTCTATAAAGTTCTATCTTTGAATAAAGGTACTGGAGCAGAGAGAGCTGCAGTATACACCGCTAACCTGACAGGATGCTTGGCTGGTCTGTATGACCAACCTCTAGAGGAAAGTCATGTAAGTTTATATTAGGTACTAGACATTGTAGGGCTACACATCTAGCCTCAGCTAACCCTACAATTACTACTTTGTCCTTCTGTCCATCTGTTTTTGTCACTAACTACTACAGCAGTTAAATATCATCAAAGAACATTTTGTACACGTTTCCCTCTTAATTCTTCACGGCTAATTCAACATGTATATAAATACACCCTAATATCCAAGGAAAAATTTGTCAGCTCATATACATAATGTACAGTGCCCTGTATTCATCTGTAACTAAATTTGTATCGGTATTTATTAATTATTACCTCATCAGAAGATATCAAATATTGTGTATTACAGGACGTCTCAGTGAGAGTGGTTGACAAAAAACAAGGTAATTACGGAGAGGACATTACAGTTGATGTGGAGTTTGAGAACCTATCCAAGGAAAAGCGTTCAATAATTGGGACATGGTGTCTACAAAGTTTTTACTCTACCGGAGTACTGGCTCATGATGTGAGATCAGAGAAGCTTGATATTACCCTCAGCCCAGCAGAGAGTAAGTCTTCTGTATAACCACATATTGATATTACCCTCAGCCCAACAGAGAGTAAGTCTTCTGTATAACCACATATTGATATTACCCTCAGCCCAACAGAGAGTAAGTCTTCTGTATAACCACATATTGATATTACCCTCAGCCCAGCAGAGAGTAAGTCTTCTGTATTACCACATATTGATATTACCCTCAGCCCAGCATAGAGTAAGTCTTCTGTATAACCACATATTGATATTACCCTCAGCCCAGCATAGAGTAAGTCTTCTGTATAGCCACATATTGATATTACCTCAGCCCAGCATAGAGTAAGTCTTCTGTATAACCACATATTGATATTACCCTCAGCCCAACAGAGAGTAAGTCTTCTGTATAACCACATATTGATATTACCCTCAGCCCAACAGAGAGTAAGTCTTCTGTATTACCACATATTGATATTACCCTCAGCCCAGCAGAGAGTACGTCTTCTGTATAACCACATATTGATATTACCCTCAGCCCAACAGAGAGTAAGTCTTCTGTATTACCACATATTGATATTACCCTCAGCCCAGCATAGAGTAAGTCTTCTGTATAACCACATATTGATATTACCCTCAGCCCAACAGAGAGTAAGTCTTCTGTATAGCCACATAATGATATTACCCTCAGCCCAGCAGAGAGTACGTCTTCTGTATAACCACATATTGATATTACCCTCAGCCCAGCAGAGAGTAAATCTTCTGTATAACCACATATTGATATTACCCTCAGCCCAGCAGAGAGTAAGTCTTCTGTATAACCACAGAATGATATTACCCTCAGCCCAACAGAGAGTAAATCTTCTCTATAACCACATATTGATGTTACCCACAGCCCAGCAGAGAGTAAATATTTTCTATAACCATAGACTGTAATACACAGATGTAGTCATTAAGGGAATTAATGTTGAGAGATTAAATATCTATGAGTATTTTTTAGAAGAAAGGACATGATTAAACTTATATAAAAAAACAATAAGGTCTTTTTTAAAAAGAATGAAATGTTGAGATTTTTAATTGAAAAACAATGAAATTTTAGGCAAGAAATTAATTATTTAAACTCTGTTAAAGATTAGGTTTTTAAAAAAGCAAAGAAATGTTCAAATTCACGAAAGATGATTCTCTTTTGGAGGAATTTGGACCCTTGTTAACACAGCTCAACAGATCCGTTTTACAAATATTCCCTCATTTTCCCACAGAGGCATCTAAACAGATGTGTATAACCTTTGAGGAGTACAACAAGAAAACAATGGAAGGCTGCTATTTTAAGACTTTGTGTATATGTACAGTAAAGGAGACCAATCAGACAGCTTCGGAAGATGATGATTTTCGACTCATCAAACCTGACCTGGACCTTGAGGTGAGGTTGTGCATAAAGGCTCTGTTTACAGGATATAGATTACTATTTACAAATTAAACGGTATCAAGGCTGCTTTGTCACTTTAATAGTCTGTTATGGTATCATTGATAACATTCATATGATCTTCTTTTACATGAAAAAGATAAAAAGTCAGTGATTTTCTGACTATAGAAACATAATGAGTTCGTTGGTATGATAAGATGTGTTATGGTGTTGTTTAGGTACCAGCTTTGTATTATGAGATGTGTTATGATGTTGTTTAGGTACCAGCTGTGTGGTATGATAAGATGTGTTATGGTGTTGTTTAGGTACCAGCTGTGTGGTATGATGAGATGTGTTATGATGTTGTTTAGGTACCAGCTGTGTGGTATGATGAGATGTGTTATGATGTTGTTTAGGTACCAGCTGTGTGGTATGATGAGATGTGTTATGGTGTTGTTTAGGTACCAGCTGTGTGGTATGAGATGTGTTATGATGTTGTTTAGGTACCAGCTGTGTGGTATGATGAGATGTGTTATGATATTGTTTAGGTACCAGCTGTGTAGTATGATGAGATGTGTTATGATGTTGTTTAGGTACCAGCTGTGTGGTATGATGAGATGTGTTATGATGTTGTTTAGGTACCAGCTGTGTAGTAAGATGTATCATGATGTTGTTTAGGTGCCTGCCGTGGTACAAGTTGGAGACACATTTAAGGTAATAGTGACGTTCCAGAACCCACTACCAGTTGTTCTGACACTTTGTAACTTGGAGGTCGAAGGACCAGGCCTGCGGAAACCTAAAAACATCAAACAGAAGTAAGTCTGTTTACCTTTGATCTCTGTTAATTCTGTTGTCTGTAAGATTGACATTTTTAGCCCACCATCATCAGATTGCCCTTTGTCTGTGGTTTCTAAAGAGCTATCAGATAGATAATCTTTTCATCTCTATATTCCCCTTTTGTCCCTAGTTGTTCATCTTCCGACTAATCAGAAAAACAAACTGACGGAAGGGCGGCGATCTTGGATACAGATTATTAAAGAACGTTATCACTATTTCTTGGGATAAAGTACTGAATTGAACTTTCCCAAAGTCTACATGTTGTTTCCCAATGACCCCTAGCTGTGCTAATTTGATTTTGGAAATCAAATCCAAACGAGAGAAGAGAAGCGAAAACCATCCAATTAAAAAGAACAAATAAAGATTTGATGATGCATCCCCCTAGGATCTCTAGTGATTTTACAGTGAGGTAATTATCGTTTAGACCTATAAAATGCTACATATTGTTCAGATATATTAACTCAGATCAGAGTACCAACATGGTCCCTTGGATGAATATCATAATTCACTTAGAAAAGAAATGTGATTTTCACCTGGGAACAAGGATTACAGGTATATTACGGTATTCATAAGGTTTTTTGTATTACACAATTGCGCAAAATTTGAATTCATAATCTGCTGGACTATCAAGCTTTCCATGCACATAAACTGTGTAATACATAAACTGATGTACGACAAGAAACAAACAGAAGGACGGAAAGATTTTAAAAGGGCCATAAACACATATGTTCCTGGTAAAACCTTGTCGTCCATCATTTTGTATATTACACAGCTGATGTTCCTGGTAAAACCTTGTCGTCCATCAGTTTGTATATTACACAGCTGATGTTCCTGGTAAAACCTTGTCGTCCATCATTTTGTATATTACACAGTTTATGTTCCTGGTAAAACCTTGTCGTCCATCAGTTTGTATATTACACAGTTTATATGTCAGGTAAAACCTTGTCGTCCATCAGTTTGTATATTACACAGTTTATATGTCAGGTAAAACCTTGTCGTCCATCAGTTTGTATAATACACAGTTTATATGTCTGGTAAAACCTTGTTGTCCATCAGTTTGTATATTACACAGTTTATATGTCTGGTAAAACCTTGTCGTCCATCAGTTTGTATATTACACAGTTTATATGTCAGGTAAAACCTTGTCGTCCATCAGTTTGTATAATACACAGTTTATATGTCTGGTAAAACCTTGTTGTCCATCAGTTTGTATATTACACAGTTTATATGTCAGGTAAAACCTTGTCGTCCATCAGTTTGTATATTACACAGCTGATGTTCCTGGTAAAACCTTGTCGTCCATCAGTTTGTATATTACACAGTTTATGTTCCTGGTAAAACCTTGTCGTCCATCAGTTTGTATATAACACAGCTGATGTTCCTGGTAAAACCTTGTCGTCCATCAGTTTGTATATAACACAGTTTATGTTCCTGGCAAAACCTTGTCGTCCATCAGTTTGTATATTACACAGTTTATATGTCTGGTAAAACCTTGTCGTCCATCAGTTTGTATATTACACAGCTGATGTTCCTGGTAAAACCTTGTCGTCCATCAGTTTGTATATTACACAGTTTATTTGTCTGGTAAAACCATGTCGTCCATCAGTTTGTATATTACACAGTTTATATGTCTGGTAAAACCTTGTCGTCCATCAGTTTGTATATTACACAGCTGATGTTCCTGGTAAAACCTTGTCGTCCATCAGTTTGTATATTACACAGTTTATGTTCCTGGTAAAACCTTGTCGTCCATCAGTTTGTATATAACACAGCTGATGTTCCTGGTAAAACCTTGTCGTCCATCAGTTTGTATATTACACAGCTGATGTTCCTGGTAAAACCTTGTCGTCCATCAGTTTGTATATTACACAGCTGATGTTCCTGGTAAAACCTTGTCGTCCATCAGTTTGTATATTACACAGTTTATTTGTCTGGTAAAACCATGTCGTCCATCAGTTTGTATATTACACAGTTTATATGTCTGGTAAAACCTTGTCGTCCATCAGTTTGTATATTACACAGCTGATGTTCCTGGTAAAACCTTGTCGTCCATCAGTTTGTATATTACACAGTTTATGTTCCTGGTAAAACCTTGTCGTTCATCAGTTTGTATATAACACAGCTGATGTTCCTGGTAAAACCTTGTCGTCCATCAGTTTGTATATTACACAGCTGATGTTCCTGGTAAAACCTTGTCGTCCATCAGTTTGTATATTACACAGCTGATGTTCCTGGTAAAACCTTGTCGTCCATCAGTTTGTATAAAACACATTGTATGTTCTTTTTTGGTCCATATTTATCCTTGTTTCAGTCCTGTGGGAGCTAAGCAGACCTTTAGATATGAAGTAGAGATGACTGCATCTAAACCAGGAACCAGAACAATCATCGCCAACTTTGATTCAATGGAAATTGTCGATATCAATGGCTGCTGTGAAATAGAGGTCAAGGAGGAAACACAATTTTGAGATGTTCAGTTGATGTTTTTACCATAAAATAACAATGAACTGGAACCATGCATTTTACTCTTGCAATTCATTTTAAGCTTACCGGAAATATATTTCGAATTCTGGGCTTGTCCTTGCTAGAAGATTTAATGTACATTGAAAGCGAACCCTGCAGTACTTAATGACCAAAAAGTTAGTTCCTCATGTTACAATGTAAGTTTGGATAAGGACGATGAAGGTCACACTTAACTGTAATACCAGGAAGGAAAAGACGAGGAGGAACATATAAGCAAATGATAGGGTAGATTTACAACATGTCACCAGAACACTGACGTTCGTCGGCGGGACGACGCGTGGACACAGGAGGCGATGGAAGACAGGGTAGAAAACCTGTTAAGCATGAGATTTACAGATGTTAAAGTGATCTCATTCTGTTAATTCTCCAATACACTAACACAAACAAATCTAATAAAAAAGGCTGCTTATGGAGGATTGATTCATTTGTTACCGTTATGTCAGAAGTCGAGTGGGTTGATTTCATCGTAGGAGATTCCAGGAGTTAGAATTAGGGTCTTCCAATTTATCTGGAGGGTGGATTCCATAAATATCAGGCGGGTTGATTTATTTGGTGGGGGGGGGGGGGGGGGGGGGGGGGGGGGGTTACATACATTAGGTTGGGTTGATTTATTTGTAAGAGGGGATTCTAGAAGTTAGTTGGGTTTATTTGTTTTTAGGGGGGATTCCATAAGTTAGGCGGGTTGATGTGTTTGTAAGGAGGAGGGGTAAGATGGGTTGATGTGTTTGTAAGGAGGGGGTAAGATAGATTGATGTGTTTGTAAGGGGGAGGGGGTACGATGGGATGATGTGTTTGGAAGGGGGAAGGGGTAAGATGGGTTGATGTGTTTGTAAGGAGGAGGGTGTAAGATAGATTGATGCGTTTGTAAGGGGGAGGGGTACAATGGGATGATGTGTTTGTAAGGGGGAAGGGGTAAAATGGGTTAATGTGTTTGTAAGGGGGAGGGAGTAAGATGTGTTGATGTGTTTGTAAGGGGGAGGGGGTAAGATATGTTGATGTGTTTTAAGGGGGAGGGGGTTGATGTGTTTGTAAAGGGGAGGGGTATGTGTTGATGTGTTTTTAATGGGGGGGGGTAAGATGTGTTGATGTGTTTTTAATGGGGAGGGGGTAAGATGTGTTGATGTGTTTTTATGTGTTTTTAGGGGGAGGGAGTCAGATAGGTTGATGTGTTTGTAAAGGGGGAGGGATTAAGATGTGTTGATGTGTTTTTAATGGGGAGGGGGTAAGATGTGTTGATGTGTTTTTAAGGGTGAGGGGGTAAGATGTGTTGATGTGTTTGTAAGGGGGAGGGGGTAAGATATGTTGATGTGTTTTTAAGGGGGAGGGAGTCAGATGGGTTGATGTGTTTGTAAAGGGGGAGGGGTTAAGATGTGTTGATGTGTTTTTAATGGGGAGGGGGTAAGATGTGTTGATGTGTTTGTAAGGGGGAGGGGGTAAGATATGTTGATGTGTTTTTAAGGGTGAGGGGGTAAGATGGGTTGATGTGTTTGTAAAGGGGGAGGGGTTAAGACGGGTTGATTTGTTTGTTAGGGGGAGGGGGTTGGATGGGTTGATTTGTTTGTAAGGGGGAGGGGGTAAGACGGGTTGATGTGGTTGTAAAGGTGAGGGGTAGGATGGGTTGATGTTTTTTTATAAGCGGGAGGGGGTAAGACGGGTTGATGTATTTGTAAGGGGGAGGGGGTACGATGGGATGATGTGTTTGTAAGGGGGAAGGGGTAAGATGGGTTGATGTGTTTGTAAGGGGGAGGGAGTGAGATGTGTTGATGTGTTTGTAAGGGGGAGGGGGTAAGATATGTTGATGTGTTTTAAGGGGAGGGGGAAAGATGTGTTGATGTGTTTTAAGGGGGGGGGGTAAGATGGGTTGATGTGTTTAAGGGGGAGGGGGTAAGATATGTTGATGTGTTTTTAAGGGGAAGGGGGTAAGATGGGTTGATGTGTTTGTAAAGGGGAGGGGTTAAGATGTGTTGATGTGTTTTTAATGGGGAGGGGGTAAGATGTGTTGATGTGTTTTAAGGGGGGGGGGTAAGATGGGTTGATGTGTTTAAGGGGGAGGGGGTAAGATATGTTGATGTGTTTTTAAGGGGAAGGGGGTAAGATGGGTTGATGTGTTTGTAAAGGGGAGGGGTTAAGATGTGTTGATGTGTTTTTAATGGGGAGGGGGTAAGATGTGTTGATGTGTTTGTAAGGGGGAGGGGGTAAGATATGTTGATGTGTTTTTAAGGGGGAGGGGGTAAGATGGGTTGATGTGTTTGTAAAGGAGGATGAGTTAAGATGTGTTGATGTTTTATTAAGGGGGAGGGGGTAAGATGGGTTGATGTGTTTGTAAAGGGGGAGGGGTTAAGACGGGTTGATTTGTTTGTTAGGGGGAGGGGGTAGGATGGGTTGATTTGTTTGTAAGGGGGAGGGGGTAAGACGGGTTGATGTGTTTGTAAAGGTGAGGGGTAGGATGGGTTGATGTTTTTTATAAGCGGGAGGGGATAAGACGGGTTGATGTGTTTGTAAAGGGGAGGGGTAGGATGGGTTGATGTTTTTTATAAGGGGGAGGGGGTAAGACGGGTTGATTTGTTTGTAAAGGGGAGGGGTAGGATGGGTTGATGTTTTTATAAGGGAGAGGGGGTAAGATGGGTTGATGTGTTTGTAAAGGGGAGGGGTAGGATGGGTTGATGTTTTTATAAGGGAGAGGGGGTAAGATGGGTTGATGTGTTTGTAAAGGGGAGGAGTAGGATGGGTTGATGTTTTTATAAGAGGGAGGGGGTAAGATGGGTTGATGTGTTTGTAAAGGGGAGGGGTAGGATGGGTTGATGTTTTTATAAGGGAGAGGGGGTAAGATGAGTTGATGTGTTTGTAAAGGGAAAGGTTGGATGGGTTGATGTTTTTTATAAGGGGGAGGGGGTAAGATGGGTTGAAGTGTTTTGTAAAGGGGAGGGGAAGGATGGGTTGATATGTGTTTTTATTGCGCCATGCTTATGATATATGTTACTACTTATGAGCTTTACCTAGGATTGTATAATAGTATGACCCTCATGTCTCGTTTGTCGCAATGAAATCTTACTTTTTAAATCTATTTGTTTTTGTTTTGTATTTTACCTCACTTACCCCAAGGGCAAGTGGGTTTATGCGCTGACACTACGTCTGGTATCCGGGGTTCTTTAAACAAATTATAAAAACTACGGGGTTAGATGTAATTAACAATTGGTTTGTGTATGTGTTTGTGTGTTACGGAGGGGGAGGGAGCATCGCTGACATTAATTCGAGAAGACGGAATACCTTTGCTGATACATCTGTTATTGTAATTCCTTCAAAGTGGAAATCTATCAATCTAACACCCCATCAACATATAAACAAATAAGTTGAATTCATAGTTCGATGTGTGTTTATCTGCTTTTTCTAAAATCAAGACAGTTAAAGACAAGAAGTAATTAAATTAGGGACGATATTTTCATTTTGACACAATAAAAAACACTGACTGATGAAGGTATATAGAGAGGATTAAAAGGAGCATGACTAGAGCTTTATCACCAGTAACATCACCCGTTCTCACTATCAAACCAGTAACATCACCCGTTCTCACTATCGAACCAGTAACATCACCCGTTCTCACTATCGAACCGGTAACATCACCCGTTCTCACTATCGAATCGGTAACATCACCCGTTCTCACTATCAAACCAGTAACATCACCCGTTCTCACTATCAAACCAGTAACATCACCCGTTCTCACTATCAAACCAGTAACATCACCCGTTCTCACTATCGAACCGGTAACATCACCCGTTCTCACTATCGAACCGGTAACATCACCCGTTCTCACTATCGAACCGGTAACATCACCCGTTCTCACTATCGAACCGGTAACATCACCCGTTCTCACTATCGAACCGGTAACATCACCCGTTCTCACTATCGAACCAGTAACATCACCCGTTCTCACTATCGAACCAGTAACATCACCCGTTCTCACTATCGAACCAGTAACATCACCCGTGCTTATGGTCAAACCTGTGGGTTTCGTTGTTTTATACCTTTTTCTTATTTAAGAACGTGACGTTACTTACTCGCCTTTTGACGAAGATGGTATGTATTTCTGATGAAGTAGAATACGCCATATATTCCAGTCAAAGACAATAAATAATACTTAACAAACAAAAGCCTTACTAACGAAGAGAGGTCCCCCAAACACGTGTATCAGTAGTTACCACCCTGGTGAAAACGTCTTCTCGTCATATTAAAATCCATTTTATTTTCAAAGATCGTCCATTATGTCGACTGCACAAATATTATTGATTTAGGTATGTGAAGGTTCAGATCGTGAAACAGACTGCAAATGACTTAAATTGCAGGTTAAGATTAAGGAAGGATTTCTGAGGATTTTTTTTATTTACTGTTGATATGGGTTGGTACATCATTTGAATGGAAATAAGGACGTTTGGGTCATTTAACGTTTGTTTAAGATATAAGAAAACAACAAAATATATTGATGTCTGTTCTTTTTACTATACAATGAGTCTACAATATTTACAACATCGATAACTACTCTATAATAATATCACAGATGTATGTACATATCACATTGGTTAGGGTTAATTAACAGTCTATTATGTCTTCAGTCAATCAGTATCCAACAAAGCCGACATGTGCACAGTTCCAGGATAAAAATATTGAAAAGTATTTTTTTTTTTTTTTTTTTTTTTTGGTATCACAATATGTGCATTTAGTCATTTACATATAAATTCTGTCATTTGTATCAATATTTAAGCTAGTTTATATAAACACATTTTTCAATATTCTCAGAATTATAAGGTTAATTTTTGTTTGTCAAGAGAAACAAATGACGAGATTTTTGAAGATTAATTTTCGTTGGAAAAAATAAGGACAAAACATCTTCCTTGGCACTTTTGATTTTCAAACAAAAGTAAAATTTCATCTGATTAGTAAAATAATGGAATTATTTCAGCGAAAGTGTTTTGGCGACAGTTATAATTTGTCTTACGTAGAATTGTGTGATAATCAAAGGAAGACACTGGAAGTTCATCGAAATGGTTCAACTTCAGAATACATCATCCTGCTGATTTAAGTTTGTTCAATATTCTGTTGCTGAAATGCTACATTTGTTATTCTTTATTTGAGTCCATGACGTCACTTCCGGTTATTCGGTATGATGGGTTTCGTTACGATATCCTGAATAATACGGAGGTTGTATGGCTGTTTTCCTGACGGTATCTCTTTAAGCTCGCATATTGTTCTGGAACAAATCAAATAAATAATTTCACAATACGGTATTCATATCAAATTATACATTGTTTGTAGTTTCCCGATAGGACAAAATAAATAAAATAAAAACCCCTTCATCATCTCCGAGACAGAGCTGGTGCAAATATATCTATTTATAGAATCAATATGTTATAAACATGCAAAAAAAATGTCCGCCTCGTTCGGGTTGTCAAATTCAGGAACCAAACTTCGGTATCTGTCAAAAACCAACCTGCATTACACTCTGACAGAGAATACCTGTATCAACCTACATTACACTCTGATAGAGATTACTTGTATCAACCTACATTACACTCTGATAGAGATTACTTGTATCTGCCTACATTACACTCTGACAGAGAATACCTGTATCAACCTACATTACACTCTGATAGAGATTACTTGTATCAAACTACATTACACTCTGACAGAGAATACCTGTATCAACCTACATTACACTCTGACAGAGATTACTTGTATCAACCTACATTACACTCTGACAGAGATTACTTGTATCAACCTACATTACACTCTGACAGAGAATACCTATATCAACCTACATTACACTCTGACAGAGATTACTTGTATCAAACTACATTACACTCTGACAGAGAATACCTGTATCAACCTACATTACACTCTGACAGAGATTACTTGTATCTGCCTACATTACACTCTGACAGAGATTACTTGTATCTGCCTACATTACACTCTGACAGAGATTACTTGTATCTGCCTACATTACACTCTGACAGAGATTACTTGTATCAACCTACATTACACTCTGACAGAGAATACCTGTATCAACCTACATTACACTCTGATAGAGATTACCTGTATCTGCCTACATTACACTCTGACAGAGATTACACATTACACTCTGACAGAGATTACTCTACATTACACTCTGAGAGATTCTTGTATTACACTCTGACAGAGAATACAACACTACATTACACTCTGACAGAGATTACTTGTATCAACCTACATTACACTCTGACAGAGAATACCTGTATCTGCCTACATTACACTCTGACAGAGATTACTTGTATCAACCTACATTACACTCTGACAGAGAATACCTGTATCAACCTACATTACACTCTGACAGAGAATACCTATATCAACCTACATTACACTCTGACAGAGAAAACCTGTATCAACCTACATTACACTCTGACAGAGATTACTTGTATCAACCTACATTACACTCTGACAGAGAATACCTGTATCAACCTACATTACACTCTGACAGAGATTACTTGTATCAAGGAAACACACAGAGATTACCTTACACTCTGACAGAGATTACCTGTATCATCCTCTGCCTACATTACACTCTGACAGAGAATACCTGTATCAACCTACATTACACTCTGACAGAGAATACCTGTATCAACCTACATTACACTCTGATAGAGATTACCTGTATCTGCCTACATTACACTCTGACAGAGATTACTTGTATCAACCTACATTACACTCTGACAGAGATTACTTGTATCAAACTACATTACACTCTGACAGAGATTACTTGTATCAAACTACATTACACTCTGACAGAGAATACCTATATCAACCTACATTACACTCTGACAGAGATTACTTGTATCAACCTACATTACACTCCGACAGAGATTACCTGTATCTGCCTACATTACACTCTGACAGAGAATACCTATATCAACCTACATTACACTCTGACAGAGATTACTTGTATCAACCTACATTACACTCTGACAGAGATTACTTGTATCTGCCTACATTACACTCTGACAGAGATTACTTGTATCTGCCTACATTACACTCTGACAGAGAAAACCTGTATCTGCCTACATTACACTCTGATAGAGATTACCTGTATCTGCCTACATTACACTCTGACAGAGAATACCTGTATCTGCCTACATTACACTCTGACATTACACTCTGATAGAGATTACCTGTATCTGCCTACATTACACTCTGACAGAGATTACTTGTATCTGCCTACATTACACTCTGACAGAGAAAACCTGTATCTGCCTACATTACACTCTGACAGAGATTAGCACAAGGAAACAGAATTTCTCGCACAAGGAAACAGAATTTCTCGCACAAGGAAACCACAAGGAAACAGAATTTCTCGCACAAGGAAACAATTTCTCGCACAAGGAAACAGAATTTCTCGCACAAGGAAACAGAATTTCTCGCACAAGTAAACAGAATTTCTCGCACAAGGAAACAGAATTTCTCGCACAAGGAAACAGAATTTCTCGCACAAGGAAACCACAAGGAAGCAGAATTTCTCGCACAAGGAAACAGAATTTCTCGCACAAGGAAACAGAATTTCTCGCACAAGGAAACCACAAGGAAACAGAATTTCTCGCACAAGGAAACAGAATTTCTCGCACAAGGAAACAGAAACATTATTTCTCGCACAAGGAAACAATTTCTCGCACAAGGAAACAGAATTTCTCGCACAAGGAAACAGAATTTCTCGCACAAGGAAACAGAATTTCTCGCACAAGGAAACCACAAGGAAACAGAATTTCTCGCACAAGGAAACAATTTCTCGCACAAGGAAACAGAATTTCTCGCACAAGGAAACAGAATTTCACAAGGAAACAGAATTTCTCGCACACAAGGAAACAGAATTTCTCGCACAAGGAAACCACAAGGAAACAGAATTTCTCGCACAAGGAAACAGAATTTCTCGCACAAGGAAACAGAATTTCTCGCACAAGGAAACAGAATTTCTCGCACAAGGATACAGAATTTCTCGCACAAGGAAACAGAATTTCTCGCACAAGGAAACAGAATTTCTCGCACAAGGAAACAGAATTTCTCGCACAAGGAAACAGAATTTCTCGCACAAGGAAACAGAATTTCTCGCACAAGGAAACAGAATTTCTCGCACAAGGAAACAGAATTTCTCGCTCGCACAAGGAAACAGAATTTCTCGCACAAGGAAACAGAATTTCTCGCACAAGGAAACAGAATTTCTCGCACAAGGAAACAGAATTTCTCGCACAAGGAAACAGAATTTCTCGCACAAGGAAACAGAATTTCTCGCACAAGGAAACAGAATTTCTCGCACAAAGCACAAGGAAACAGAATTTCTCGCACAAGGAAACAGAATTTCTCGCACAAGATTTCTCGCACAAGGAAACAGAATTTCTCGCACAAAGCACAAGGAAACAGAATTTCTCGCACAAGGAAACAGAATTTCTCGCACAAGGAAACAGAATTTCTCGCACAAGGAAACAGAATATCTCGCACAAGGAAACAGAATTTCTCGCACAAGGAAACAGAATTTCTCGCACAAAGCACAAGGAAACAGAATTTCTCGCACAAGGAAACAGAATTTCTCGCACAAGGAAACAGAATTTCTCGCACAAGGAAACAGAATTTCTCGCACAAGGAAACCACAAGGAAACAGAATTTCTCGCACAAGGAAACAGAATTTCTCGCACAAGGAAACAGAATTTCTCGCACAAGGAAACAGAATTTCTCGCACAAGGAAACAGAATTTCTCGCACAAGGAAACAGAATTTCTCGCACAAGGAAACAGAATTTCTCGCACAAGGAAACAGAATTTCTCGCACAAGGAAACAATTTCTCGCACAAGGAAACAGAATTTCTCGCACAAGGAAACAGAATTTCTCGCTCAAAGCACAAGGAAACAGAATTTCTCGCACAAGGAAACAGAATTTCTCGCACAAGGAAACAGAATTTCTCGCACAAAGCACAAGGAAACAGAATTTCTCGCACAAGGAAACAGAATTTCTCGCACAAGGAAACAGAATTTCTCGCACAAGGAAACAATTTCTCGCACAAGGAAACAGAATTTCTCGCACAAGGAAACAGAATTTCTCGCACAAGGAAACAGAATTTCTCGCACAAGGAAACAGAATTTCTCGCACAAGGAAACAGAATTTCTCGCACAAGGAAACAGAATTTCTCGCACAAGGAAACAGAATTTCTCGCACAAGGAAACAGAATTTCTCGCACAAGGAAACAGAATTTCTCGCACAAGGAAACAGAATTTCTCGCACAAGGAAACAGAATTTCTCGCACAAGGAAAAAGAATTTCTCGCACAAGGATACAGAATTTCTCGCACAAGGAAACAGAATTTCTCGCACAAGGAAACCACAAGGAAGCAGAATTTCTCGCACAAGGAAACAGAATTTCTCGCACAAGGAAACAGAATTTCTCGCACAAGGAAACAGAATTTCTCGCACAAGGAAACAGAATTTCTCGCACAAGGAAACAGAATTTCTCGCACAAGGAAACAGAATTTCTCGCACAAAGCACAAGGAAACAGAATTTCTCGCACAAGGAAACAGAATTTCTCGCACAAGGAAACAGAATTTCTCGCACAAGGAAACCACAAGGAAACAGAATTTCTCGCACAAAGCACAAGGAAAAAGAATTTCTCGCACAAGGATACAGAATTTCTCGCACAAGGAAACAGAATTTCTCGCACAAGGAAACAGAATTTCTCGCACAAAGCACAAGGAAACAGAATTTCTCGCACAAGGAAACAGAATTTCTCGCACAAAGCACAAGGAAACAGAATTTCTCGCACAAGGAAACAGAATTTCTCGCACAAAGCACAAGGAAACAGAATTTCTCGCAAAAAGCACAAGGAAACAGAAACAGAATTTCTCGCACAAGGAAACAGAATTTCTCGCACAAGGAAGCAGAATTTCTCGCACAAAGCACAAGGAAACAGAATTTCTCGCACAAGGAAACAGAATTTCTCGCACAAGGAAACCACAAGGAAACAGAATTTCTCGCACAAAGCACAAGGAAAAAGAATTTCTCGCACAAGGAAACAGAATTTCTCGCACAAAGCACCAGGAAAAAGAAATACTCGCAAAAGGAAAAAGAAAAACTCGCAAAATGAAACAGAATTTCTCGCACAAGGAAACAGAATTTCTCGCACAAGGAAACAGAATTTCTCGCACAAGGAAAAAGAATTTCTCGCACAAGGAAACAGAATTTCTCGCACAAAGCACAAGGAAACAGAATTTCTCGCACAAGGAAACAGAATTTCTCGCACAAGGAAACAGAATTTCTCGCACAAGGAAACAGAATTTCTCGCACAAAGCACAAGGAAACAGAATTTCTCGCACAAGGAAACAGAATTTCTCGCACAAGGAAACAGAATTTCTCGCACAAAGCACAAGGAAACAGAATTTCTCGCACAAGGAAAAAGAATTTCTCGCACAAGGAAACAGAATTTCTCGCACAAAGCACAAGGAAACAGAATTTCTCGCACAAGGAAACAGAATTTCTCGCACAAAGCACAAGGAAACAGAATTTCTCGCACAAAGCACAAGGAAACAGAATTTCTCGCACAAGGAAACAGAATTTCTCGCACAAGGAAACAGAATTTCTCGCACAAGGAAACAGAATTTCTCGCACAAAGCACAAGGAAACAGAATTTCTCGCACAAGGAAACAGAATTTCTCGCACAAGGAAACAGAATTTCTCGCACAAGGAAACAGAATTTCTCGCACAAAGCACAAGGAAACAGAATTTCTCGCACAAGGAAACAGAATTTCTCGCACAAGGAAAGAAAATACTTTAAGTGAGATAATTTTGACTTCACCATAATCTCAATCAACATTATAAACTGTTTTGTAAATCTATCTGTAAACTGTAAGTATTGTGCACGTAGATCGTGGAGTATAGTTATCTAGAAATGCAAAATCTACAATATGGAAATCATGTATTATACAGCTTGATTGGAAAAGTCGTTTTAAGAAAAGATCGACAGTAAGTAGCAGTAATAAGAAGTCTGTGACGTCGCTGAAGCAAAAGACACTTTCTCTTCCAAAACTCTGGTCTTAATGTCTTGCACTTTTTTCGGGAATACATCCCCTTTCTTTCTTTTGTTCATGGTTTGTCCTAGTTTTATTGAATTTTAGTTTGGATTACGATCTGTGTTATATTGGTAATTTCGTGTTGTTTTCTATCATGTTCTTGGTATTTGATTAAGATGTACATACACTATGGACATGACCCATACTTTTCGTGTTATTTAAGGACAAGAGAACACCAATATATCTAACACGAACCACTTAATAAGGTCTGTATGTCCTGAAATCACTTTAAATCTCACAAGGAAGATTAAACGTCATCTTACCGGAGTCATAGAATTGTTTGAATTGCTCAATACTTTCATATGCATTGATCAAGACAAACGCTGCTCTGTTTATCCAAGTTCTCCTTAAGTCTCTGGCGTCCGTGGTTGCTACCAAGCCATGTCGAATCTTAAACTTATCCATAATCGGGGCCACCCTATTGACATAATTGTCCTGGAAGTTCCGGTCACACACGTCACAAATTTCTGTCAAGTTGAACGTTGTGTATCCGTTCTCTATTGATTACAATAAAACATTAAATTAGTAAAAGAGATCACGCATGCTTTTAGTAACAAACATCAAAATCGTTTCCATTTCTAACTTTATTTATACAACATAACAGGATGAAGAGAATATTTTATTCCTTAATCGTTTTTATAACTGAATAATTCTTCTATTATTTATAAACATTATACAAAGTAGAACGGGTTACTGTTTGGGATATAGCTGAGAGGAAAATTCCTCTCTACTATTTATAAACATTATACAAAGTAGAACGGGTTACCGTTTAGGATATAGCTGAGAGGAAAATTCCTCTCTACTATTTATAAACATTATACAAAGTAGAACGGGTTACCGTTTGGGATATAGCTGAGTAGAAATTCCCTCTCTACTATTTATAAACATCATACAAAGTAGAACGGGTTACCGTTTGGGATATAGCTGAGTGGAAACAGGGTTATCTCCAATGTGTCCGCAGGGTTTGGAAAGTCTTGTTGTTTGAATACCCGATCACTCCTAAGCCAGTGATCAGCATCTCTTTCGCTCTTGAACTTCAAAAGAGCAAATCCACAATCTGGGTACTTGTCACTACACTCAACGACGCTGATCTGTAAGAGAGGATAAATAATAGGATATCACAGACTGATCCTGTCAGAGATGTAAAAAATAATAGAATACTGCAGACTGATTCTGTCAGAGATGTAAAAATAATAGAATATCACAGACTGATCCTGTCAGAGATGTAAAAGATAATAGAATACTGCAGACTGATTCTGTCAGAGATGTAAAAATAATAGAATATCACAGACTGATTCTGCCAGAGATGTAAAAAATAATAGAATACTGCAGACTGATTCTGTCAGAGATGTAAAAATAATAGAATATCACAGACTGATCCTGTCAGAGATGTAAAAAATAATAGAATACTGCAGACTGATTCTGTCAGAGATGTAAAAATAATAGAATATCACAGACTGATTCTGTCAGAGATGTAAAAATAATAGAATACTGCAGACTGATCCTGTCAGAGATGTAAAAGATAATAGAATACTGCAGACTGATCCTGTCAGAGATGTAAAAGATAATAGAATACTGCAGACTGATTCTGTCAGAGATGTAAAAATAATAGAATACTACAGACTGATCCTGTCAGAGATGTAAAAAATAATAGAATACTGCAGACTGATTCTGTCTGAGATGTAAAAATAATAGAATATCACAGACTGATCCTGTCAGAGATGTAAAAGATAATAGAATACTGCAGACTGATTGTGTCAGAGATGTGAAAAATAACAGAATCGTGTCATGTTTGTAGTAATCAACAAAAGTTTGTTCTTTGTTAACGTAATTCACGTTCGATGACGAAACATCAGCGTTTTCTTGTGCCAAAGAAGACAATATCTTATTCTGTCTTCATACCAAAGACACTTCACGATACTATTGGCAGAGTGAATTGAAGCTACTTTGACCGAAAACCATCACCACCAATTTTTTGTTTGCTCGAAAAATTGTACTAATGTTTAAAATAATATCAAAATGTATTAAATAGGCTCAACAGAGTGATGCTTGTGAATAGGTCTTAATATAGCATAGATAAATAAGAATTGACAGCTTTGATGTAAATAACAAAAAATAAGGTAGAATGTAATACGCGTTCTTTGCATGTTTCACATACTTTTAATTAAAATTATCCGTTTGTCCATTACTTAATCCGCGTGATGTGTTGGTGACGTCACAGCGTCAGATTTGTTACTTGTCGTTATGATTGTTCTTTACACAAAAAATGTCATATATAGTAGTTCGATTGTCAGAAGACATAATACTTAGGTATGAATTTACCGAGACCGAATGTTTACGGAAAATGTCTGTCTCAAAGATAAGTACGCTTCTATTTGTTATTGACTAAGAATGTTTTCGCTTAAAAGTTCCAAAACATGAATTCAAGCTCATCTTATACATACAAATGTACATGTAATCGATTGGATTTCTTTTTAATCTGTGTTATGTTTAATTCCAATCATATAATTAAACGAAAAAGACATTCCTTTGTTATCAATTAAAATTGAAAAATTACAACTTCACTGAAAAGTGAAAATACTGTCACGGAATAGTCAAATACTGTCACGGAATAGTGAAATATTGTCACGAAATAGTGAAATACTGTCAGGAAAAAGTGAAATACTGTCACGAAATAGTGAAATACTGTCACGGAATAGTGATATATTGTCACGGAATAGTGAAATACTGTCACGGAATAGTGAAATATTGTCACGGAATAGTGAAATATTGTCGTGGAATAGTGCAATACTGTCACGGAATAGTGAAATACTGTCACGGAAAAGTGAAATACTGTCACGGAATAGTGAAATACTGTCGTAGAATAGTGCAATACTGTCACGGAATAGTGAAATACTGTCAGGAAAAAGTGAAATATTGTCAGGAATAGTGAAATATTGTCACGGAATAGTGAAATACTGTCAGGGAATAGTGCAATACTGTCACGGAATAGTGAAATACTGTCACGGAAAAGTGAAATACTGTCACGGAATAGTGAAATATTGTCACGGAATAGTGAAATACTGTCACGGAATAGTGATATATTGTCACGGAATAGTGAAATACTGTCGTAGAATAGTGCAATACTGTCACGGAATAGTGAAATACTGTCAGGAAAAAGTGAAATACTGTCACGGAATAGTGATATATTGTCACGGAATAGTGAAATATTGTCAGGAAAAAGTGAAATATTGTCAGGAAAAAGTGGAATACTGTCAGGAAAAAGTGAAATATTGTCACGGAAAAGTGAAATATTGTCACAGAATAGTGAAATACTGTCACGGAATAGTGAAATACTGTCAGGAAAAAGTGAAATATTGTCGGGAAAAAGTGAAATACTGTCACGGAATAGTGAAATATTGTCATGGAATAGTGAAATATTGTCACGAAATAGTGAAATACTGTCACGGAATAGTGAAATATTGTCACGGAATAGTGATATACTGTCACGGAATAGTAAAATACTGTCACGGAATAGTGAAATACTGTCAGGAAAAATTGAAATATTGTCACGGAAAACTGAAATATTGTCACAGAATAGTGAAATACTGTCACGGAAGAGTGAAATACTGTCACGGAATAGTGAAATACTGTCACGGAATAGTGAAATATTGTCATGGAATAGTGAAATATTGTCACGGAATAGTGAAATACTGTCATGGAATAGTGAAATACTGTCGTAGAATAGTGCAATACTGTCATGGAATAGTGAAATACTGTCAGGGAATAGTGAAATACTGTCACGGAATAGTGAAATACTGTCAGGGAATAGTGAAATACTGTCAGGAATAGTGAAATACTGTCATGGAATAGTGAAATACTGTCAGGAAAAAGTGAAATATTGTCGGGAAAAAGTGAAATACTGTCACGGAATAGTGAAATATTGTCATGGAATAGTGAAATATTGTCACGGAATAGTGAAATACTGTCACGGAATAGTGAAATACTGTCAGGAAAAAGTGAAATACTGTCAGGAAAAAGTGAAATACTATCAGGAAAAAGTGAAATACTGTCGCGGAAAAGTGAAATACTGTCATGGAATAGTGAAATACTGTCACGGAATAGTGAAATACTGTCACGGAATAGTGAAATACTGTCACGGAATAGTGAAATACTGTCGTAGAATAGTGCAATACTGTCACGGAATAGTGAAATACTGTCAGGGAATAGTGAAATACTGTCACGGAATAGTGAAATACTGTCAGGAAAAAGTGAAATACTGTCAGGAAAAAGTGAAATACTGTCGCGGAAAAGTGAAATACTGTCACGGAATAGTGAAATACTGTCACGGAATAGTGAAATACTGTCACGAAAAATTGAAATATTGTCACGAAAAATTGAAAATACTGTCATGAAAAAGTCAAATATTGTCATGGAAAAGTGAAATACCGTCACGGAATAGTGAAATACTGTCACGGAATAGTGAAATACTGTCACGGAAAAGTGAAATATTGTCATGGAAAAGTGAAATACCGTGTTTATAGCTAATGTTCAAATGTGTTAGTTAATCAATGTGATAGGAAGATGAGAACCAGCGAGCGATGACAAAAGTCCAGATCTATTTTACATATCATATGTACAAGTGTTGTTTTGTATATTGAGTTACGACTACGCTAATAATTGTAGGTTAGTTTCAAACGACGACAATAAGTGTACGAAATAGAACACAGAAATTTATGTACATTAAATAAACATATTTTGCCAGTCAATTTTATGTCATGATTGTCAGAAATTACTCAATTGTATATAGACTAAAAGCTATTTGAAAACAAGGATCATGGAAGTAGTACGTAATATTGATTTAAAATACCAACGTTTAAAATTTTGAGTCACGTTTTCATAGATGAACAGGTGATCGAATAGAATTTTCTACATGCCTAATGTAACCTAGCTTTAACTAGGTCCCGTGTTTGTTGACATCTCTGTCTGGTTTTGTTGGCAAAACAAACTCGACTCCTCCCAAGCGACAGGTAAATATGTTTGATGTTTTTGTCAGTAACGTAATACAGGCAAGAATATATGCTAATCACACACTAAAATCTACTACTGTAGCGAACGCAACAGTGTAAACCACACTTGTAGAGAACGCATATTCAGTGAATTTAATTATCTTCCTTTTCGCGTCCGTATGGAGTTTTGTTGATAAATAATATATGTTTGATGGTGTAAATGGCCCGGATGTTCCCGTTTACTGAATAAAGTCTGGCAGTATAAATGGCCCGGATGTTACAGTTTACTAAATAAAGTCTGGCAGTATAAATGGCCTGGATGTTCCCGTTTACTGAATAAAGTCTGACAGTATAAATGGCCCGAATGTTACAGTTTACGAAAAAAAGTCTGGCAGTATAAATGGCGCGGATGTTACAGTTTACTAAAAAAAAGTTTGGCTGTATAAATGGCCCGGATGCTACAGTTTACGAAATGAAGTCTGGCAGTATAAATGGCCCGGATGCTACAGTTTACGAAATGAAGTCTGGCAGTATAAATGGCGAGGATGTTACAGTTTACGAAATAAAGTCTGGTAGTATAAATGGCGCGGATGTTACAGTTTACTAAAAAAAAGTCTGGCTGTATAAATGGCCCGGATGTTACAGTTTACGAAATGAAGTCTGGCAGTATAAATGGCCCGGATGCTACAGTTTACGAAATGAAGTCTGGCAGTATAAATGGCGCGGATGTTACAGTTTACGAAATGAAGTCTGGCAGTATAAATGGCCCGGATGTTACAGTTTACAAAATAAAGTCTGGAAGTATAAATGGCCCGGATGTTATAGTTTACAAAATAAAGTCTGGCAGTATAAATGGCCCGGATGTTACAGTTTACTAAATAAAGTCTGGCAGTATAAATGGCGCGGATGTTACAGTTTACGAAATGAAGTCTTGCAGTATAAATGGCCCGGATGTTACAGTTTACGAAAGGAAGTCTGGCAGTATAAATGGCGCGGATGTTACAGTTTACTAAAAAAAAAGTCTGGCTGTATAAATGGCCCGGATGCTACAGTTTACGAAATGAAGTCTGGCAGTATAAATGGCCCGGATGTTACAGTTTACAAAATAAAGTCTGGAAGTATAAATGGCCCGGATGTTATAGTTTACAAAATAAAGTCTGGCAGTATAAATGGCCCGGATGTTACAGTGTACTAAATAAAGTCTGGCAGTATAAATGGCGCGGATGTTACAGTTTACGAAATGAAGTCTGGCAGTATAAATGGTTTGAGTATTCTCATGCTTTTAGCCTCTATATCACGATATGGTATTGTATCTAGAAGTGGTATGGTGATCCATCGACAACTGACGTGCCAGTTTTGAATAACGATAACGTCTATTGTGAGAGATAATGACGAGACACTCAGCAGTAATTATCTATACTTATATTTTCATTTTGGAAAGGCTCAAATTAAGAGAAGACAACCATGGAAGATTCGGAAAGAGAATGAGATGTAACATAGTATTTCACTACGTCTTACATAGTCCAAAGCCATTATCTGTGATATTTTTTTTAATCATTTATTTTTGTCTTGGTCGTATTTGATAAACTATCGAGTACGACCATCGAAAGCGACGAAAAATAAAAATAAAAAATAAGATAATATAATCGTGGATAGATAGTTATAACCTTTCTCACCATTATATACACTGTACCTAGTTTGAACACACAATTTGTAGGTTAACGTTCTTGGAGGTTAATGACTTGTTATTCAATATTCTAGCACGGACTTAGATATACCGACGTCAACTGGCCCTAACCGTGATTTTAAATTACGTTTACAACATAACTATTTTAATACATGAAGTTCCATCCTTCTTTAAGACATGTACCTGTACATGCCAATATCCTTTATTCAAGATGACTTCGTAAGCCAGCTTTCATCATAGGTACTTCAAATATACCTTGGTCTACAAAACCACGAGTGGTCACTCCATCATTAGACCTATATGGAGTGTTTCTGACGTGTCGGTCACTTTACGAGTGGTGACTCCGCCATTAGACCTATATGGAGTGTTTCTGACGTGTCGGTCACTTTACGAGTGGTGACTCCGCCATTAGACCTATATGGAGTGTTTCTGACGTGTCGGTCACTTTACGAGTGGTGACTCCACCATTAGACATATATGGAGTGTTTCTGACGTGTCGGTCACTTTACGAGTGGTCACTCCACCATTAGACATATATGGAGTGTTTCTGACGTGTCGGTCAATTTACGAGTGGTGACTCCACCATTAGACCTATATGGAGTGTTTCTGACGTGTCGGTCACTTTACGAGTGGTGACTCCACCATTAGACCTATATGGAGTGTTTCTGACGTGTCGGTCACTTTACGAGTGGTGACTCCACCATTAGACCTATATGGAGTGTTTCTGACGTGTTGGTCACTTTACGAGTGGTGACTCCACCATTAGACCTATATGGAGTGTTTCTGACGTGTCGGTCACTTTACGAGTGGTGACTCCACCATTAGACCTACATGGAGTGTTTCTGACGTGTTGGTCACTTTACGAGTGGTGACTCCACCATTAGACCTACATGGAGTGTTTCTGACGTGTTGGTCACTTTACGAGTGGTGACTCCGCCATCAGACCTACATGGAGTGTTTCTGACGTGTCGGTCACTTTACGAGTGGTGACTCCGCCATTAGACCTATATGGAGTGTTTCTGACGTGTCGGTCACTTTACGAGTGGTGACTCCGCCATTAGACCTACATGGAGTGTTTCTGACGTGTCGGTCACTTTACGAGTGGTGACTCCACCATTAGACCTACATGGAGTGTTTCTGACGTGTCGGTCACTTTACGAGTGGTGACTCCACCATTAGACCTACATGGAGTGTTTCTGACGTGTTGGTCACTTTACGAGTGGTGACTCCGCCATCAGACCTACATGGAGTGTTTCTGACGTGTCGGTCACTTTACGAGTGGTGACTCCGCCATTAGACCTACATGGAGTGTTTCTGACGTGTCGGTCACTTTACGAGTGGTGACTCCGCCATTAGACCTACATGGAGTGTTTCTGACGTGTTGGTCACTTTACGAGTGTTGACTCCGCCATTAGACCTACATGGAGTGTTTCTGACGTGTCGGTCACTTTACGAGTGGTGACTCCGCCATTAGACCTACATGGAGTGTTTCTGACGTGTTGGTCACTTTACGAGTGGTGACTCCACCATTAGACCTATATGGAGTGTTTCTGACGTGTCGGTCACTTTACGAGTGGTGACTCCGCCATTAGACCTACATGGAGTGTTTCTGACGTGTTGGTCACTTTACGAGTGGTGACTCCGCCATTAGACCTACATGGAGTGACGTGTCGGTCACTTTACAAGTGTGTTTTTGCGTGTTACTTACCTCGTTCGCCACTCCCACCAGCTTTCCGTTATGCTGTTCCAGAATCCGTTTTTCTCGACCGAAAGCATTCCTCATACATTGATCCATACCCTGTTTGAAACGTATCAGCATGTACATCTCACCAGACGCCTCTTTATACTGAAATCAAAAAAGATGTCAAAAGTTCACAGCTCAAATATTTCAGCAAAAGAATCAAAAGATCAAAGGTTAAATATTCTTCAGGATTTTTTTTTTTTTTTTTTTTTTGAAATTCAGCAAACTGTCTGGAGAGACAACTCTATGCCTTTTACATCTTCGAGTTTAAGAAATGGCTACTTTACGATACAGACTGAGAGAGTGACAGAATCTCCTACTGTTGTAGCAATGATACCTATTGATCGGCATTGTTAAAAGAAGTATATAAAGTATGGGAGGGAAGTTTCACAAACATTTCTGATTTAAATCAACACGTTTACCAGGGAATGGAATATCTGGTACTAATTTTTCAGTTAAGACCTTTCTCAGTTCGTATGCTGTAGAATATTTCGTCCTCAAAAGCGATTGTTGCCTCCATTGCAACTCGTAATTGGGATTTTTTCTGCTCTTTTCTCTCCTACAAACATATATTTTGTGGTGTCTCATCATTTTACGTTTTGGTTCTTGTGTGATGTGTAACATTACGTTCTATTGTTTCCACCTAATGCTCAGCATAGAGAGGTTATGTAACAACGGGCTTTCATCAATGTCTCCATAGTATAAATGGACAGGTAATTATTTGAAGTGCCCACAGTATAGTCTATTTCTTCTAGTGTGGTACTAAAATCGTCGCCACTGATTCCAAACTATTGCTAGTAATAAGACATACGTCCTCCAACATGCATAATCACGAGTCGCACACGTTCGTATCCAACTGACTCCAGTCCATCAGAGTTTGACGTCGAACAAGATGGCGTCCCTGATACCACCCACGAAGTACACAACTGTAGACTGGGCCTTCGATCAGCGTAACATTTGGGTCTTTGAGAGTTGTGCAAACGTTATAGCCAAATCAACATCAGTTATCACTGACATCACAACATATCCACATCTCTCTCAAGAACACGTCGGTAGTTGAAAAGTGGAAGTACAAAATGTAAACACGACTGATGGTGACTGTTCACTCAATATTAATCTTCCGCAAAATAAACCATAACGTTTTTAACCAGAAAATTTCCTGTAGTTATTCTCCAAATAAACAGATATCTAATTCCCACATAATAATACAAAACAGAAAAATAATGTAATACTTTATTCTTTTACACGTTTTTCAAGAATCTTCTAAAGGAGAGAGCTGTTTACAGTGGTGTTGTTGGGATACCGCAATGCACTCTGGGAGAGATTGGTCCGCTGACAATCTATCCCAGGGTATCCCGGTTGTCTTTTACGTCTAGTCCAAACTTGCCCATATCCATTGACAATTTATCCCGGAGTGGCTGGAAACATTGATTTCTATCACTAGATGTTTACAATCGATTTTGTTGGAAACACTCATCAGAATAATCTCCGTGAATAAAGGACCGTGTCATTGACTTAAACCTTCTAGACTTGTTTAAATAACACGTGGTTTATCAACCTTAACCAATGATGTTTATGTGAGAGGAAACACCGTGGTTTATTAACCTTAACCGATGATGTTTATGTGAGAGGAAACACCGTGGTTTATCAACCTTAAGCAATGGCCGGATTTGACCGATGTCATACTGAGCTCGTATCAGTGTGTAGTTCGCGTTGCTCCAGGACGTTATAGACCCTTACATTCACCTACAATACTATACATGGTAACAAAACTACATCCGAAGTACAGAATTACCATACGGAGAAAGAAACGGTGAAAATGATTGAATTTCCGGTGAATGATATCTTCGTTAACTTTAGTGGTATCTTTGGGAACAAACTATTCTCTCTTGGCTAACTTATTTGTTTTATTATGATTTCATTGGAGACTGACTCTATCTAGATAGGTTAACTAACATCTAGTCTCCAGAGTGTCCTTTGATGACGTCCAGTAACTATATATTATGATAGGTTAACTAACATCTAGTGTCCAGAGTGTCCTTTGATGACGTCCAGTAATTATATATTATGATGGGTTAAGTAACATCTAGTGTCCAGAGTGTCCTTTGATGACGTCCAGTAATTATATATTATGATGGGTTAACTAACATCTAGTGTCCAGAGTGTCCTTTGATGACGTCCAGTAACTATATATTATGATGGGTTAACTAACATCTAGTGTCCAGAGTGTCCTTTGATGACGTCCAGTAACTATATATTATGATAGGTTAACTAACATCTAGTGTCCAGAGTGTCCTTTGATGACGTCCAGTAACTATATATTATGATGGGTTAACTAACATCTAGTGTCCAGAGTGTCCTTTGATGACGTCCAGTAACTATATATTATGATGGGTTAAGTAACATCTAGTGTCCAGAGTGTCCTTTATATATTATGATGGGTTAAGTAACATCTAGTGTCCAGTAACTATATATTATGATGGGTTAAGTAACATCTAGTGTCCAGAGTGTCCTTTGATGACGTCCAGTAACTATATATTATGATGGGTTAACTAACATCTAGTGTCCAGAGTGTCCTTTGATGACGTCCAGTAACTATATATTATGATGGGTTAAGTAACATCTAGTGTCCAGAGTGTCCTTTGATGACGTCCAGTAACTATATATTATGATGGGTTAACTAACATCTAGTGTCCAGAGTGTCCTTTGATGACGTCCAGTAATTATATATTATGATGGGTTAACTAACATCTAGTGTCCAGAGTGTCCTTTGATGACGTCCAGTAACTATATATTATGATGGGTTAACTAACATCTAGTGTCCAGAGTGTCCTTTGATGACGTCCAGTAACTATATATATATTTAACTAACATCTAGTGTCCATGTCCTTTGATGGTTAACTATATATTATGATGGGTTAACTAACATCTAGTGTCCAGAGTGTCTAGTGTCCAGAGTGTCCTTTGCTGACGTCCAGTAACTATATATTATGATAGGTTAACTAACATCTAGTGTCCAGAGTGTCCTTTGATGACGTCCAGTAACTATATATTATGATGGGTTAAGTAACATCTAGTGTCCAGAGTGTCCTTTGATGACGTCCAGTAATTATATATTATGATGGGTTAACTAACATCTAGTGTCCAGAGTGTCCTTTGATGACGTCCAGTAATTATATATTATGATGGGTTAACTAACATCTAGTGTCCAGAGTGTCCTTTGATGACGTCCAGTAATTATATATTATGATGGGTTAACTAACATCTAGTGTCCAGAGTGTCCTTTGATGACGTCCAGTAATTATATATTATGATGGGTTAAGTAACATCTAGTGTCCAGAGTGTCCTTTGATGACGTCCAGTGGTTATATATTATGATGGGTTAACTAACATCTAATTATATATTATCTAGTGTCCAGAGTGTCCTTTGATGACGTCCAGTAACTATATATTATGATAGGTTAACTAACATCTAGTGTCCAGAGTGTCCTTTGATGACGTCCAGTGGTTATATATTATGATGGGTTAACTAACATCTAGTGTTCAGAGTGTCCTTTGATGACGTCCAGTAACTATATCACCACTACTTACCAGGGGTACTCCCTTTCTCTGCTGTTTTTGCTGCTCGCACGACATTCTCTCTGAAAACAAAACGATGACAGTCAATATTCCGTTCACAGAATGTCTCTATTATATATCCTGATATACGAACTTACTTGCCTGTTCGGAAACAACCCGGTGTTGCTTTGATAAAGAGTCCATAGACGATCATGCATAAATTATAAATGATATTTGCAAAATGGTTTATCTTGATTACTGGTCAAAGATATAAGGTATCGGTAGAATTCCTTCTCCACACTTTCTTTTTCTATTGTGTGCAAAGCATTTCAGGGACAACTTCGGAAAATTCAAAACCTTATCACTCCCTCCGAGATCTCGTGGAAGAAACAAAATTTAATTAAAACTTATTTGTAAATACTTTTGTTACGACTAATACGAAGAAGAACCGGGCTTAAATTTAGTGATCATCACAGTCAAAATCAGTAGATATATAGCAGCCTATGTTATTATGTAAGAATATCATTTCAACTACAACTTACGACACACAGACGGTAGCAAAACAACAAAACATAACTCAACATAACTAAACACAACAAAACATAACTAAACATAACTAAACATAACTAAACATAACTAAACATAACTAAACACAACAAAACATAACAAAACATAACTAAACACAACAAAACATAACAAAACATAACTAAACATAACAAAACATAACAAAACATAACTAAACATAACAAAATATAACTAAACATAACTAAACACAACAAAACATAACTAAACATACCTAAACACAACAAAACATAACAAAACATAACTAAACATAACTAAACATAACTAAACACAACAAAACATAACAAAACATAACAAAACATAACAAAATATAACTAAACATAACTAAACACAACAAAACATAAATAAACATAACTAAACATAACTAAACATAACTAAACACAACAAAACATAACAAAACATAACAAAACATAACAAAATATAACTAAACATAACTAAACACAACAAAACATAACAAAACATAACTAAACATAACAAAACATAACTAAACACAACAAAACATAACAAAACATAACTAAACATACCTAAACACAACAAAACATAACAAAACATAACTAAACATAACAAAATATAACAAAACATAACTAAACATAACTAAACCCACAAAACATAACAAAACATAACAAAACATAATAAAATATAACTAAACGTAACTAAACATTACAAAACATAACTAAACGTAACAAAAAATTACAGACGTCAAACAAAACGTTACTGCCTTTGATAGGCATTCAATAATCCTATTTATCTTATTCCGTGCATTATTTTATTTCCAACTTGTTGTGATCGACTTTAAAATTTACCAAGATATCGTCAGAATAACGCGAATTTCCGAAGTGTGTGTCATTTTCTCGGGTTTAATTTGGATCAAACTAATGTTTTATAGGATCTATAATACGCCATAGGAATTACAGTTAGATAGGTCCTGGAAGTTAGACAACGAAAATTAAATAGTCATTGAAAAATGAATCATATGAATCATAACTGTTTTTGTTGTTTCAAACTTCATTTTGTAATTGTCACATTAAAACAAAACTTTGAATTATACTGATATCTTTATCTCGTTGTTCCCAGTCTTCGTAACTGTACATAACTATTTTCAGTCTTGATTATCATTGATACACTGCCTATATTTCACCGTATTTTCGTCAACAATATCTTGTAATTGAACAATATGTGCATTTAGCATTGTACTTTTAACAACACAGCCATTGTTTGTTTCATGCAGTTTTGAGCAACGAGTAAATCAATTGTTTTGTTAACTAAAATATACAAGTCTTTGTTGGAACAAATGTGAACATGTATGATATAGATATATAGATTGTACCTGAACACTTCAATGTAACACGGCGTAACAAGTTCAAAGATTTACCACACCTGTGTATCATATGGAGTTTTGACGCAGATTCAAATATAAAGTTATAACGATATACCTAGATGTTTATCACCTTGATTTGGTATTAGATGGCCTTTGTATGGAAGACTTCGGTCTTATGAAACCTTCTATACACCTGGCATGTCAACAAGCGAAAACTTGGATATTTAAACTAAAGCTTGCGTGTGCGGGTATATTTTAAATGTGTCACTACAAAGAGTTCACAAATCATGACATGTTTTGACATGACAGAAATATGAATATGTGAAACACTTTCGAATATGCAACTTACTTAGGAGTGAACATCACTTAAAAACGGATTTCAGTGGAGATCGATCAAATAGCAATTTGTCATATAAACCTGAGCAGGTAGTATACACACCTGTATTTAGGTTATCGATCTGGTATTTAAAGTTCCTCTCTGTTATACAGTTGAAGCTCGCAGTCACATGTTGCTAGGACGAAGTATACATAAACAATTTTTGTTCTGCTTTCACCTGCTTCATGTGATAAAGACTTCAAAATCTCCAATACGCGAAGTAAATCTCGATTTCCATCTGTATTTCATGAAAATCGTTTACAGTATGGTTTACTTTGACTTACCTGTGGGTTTGACAGGTGGTCTATAAACAAAACACAGGTGTTTACTCCGGCCGCTGTTTTCCTCCCCGATCACCTCGTATCGACGGTCGACAACACTGATTTTATGTATTTATTACGTCGACACACTTGATCGATTTTCTAAAGGACGATCGTGGCGACAAGTCTGCCCTCTAGTGGCCAGGTAGAAGTTAGTAATACCTAGGCATTTGTTTCACAAGTCCCGTGGGAGAATTACGACTGTATATATGAACTTTAATAACGGGTCATTGTTGTATCGACGAATAATTAGCTTAACACATAATACTGATTAGAGGCAAGAACAGGTATCCTCAACTTACACCAACAAGTGAAGGGAATTTCATCTGAAAATAAAATACGTTTTCGTAAATATTTTCTTCTAAATGTTAGTTGTGAGCTCAAAAACATAGATAGATAAGAAAAAAAAAACAATAAAAAAAGATGTCGGATCTGATCGTTTGTATTTGAAAAGCGTAGGAGATAACTCTAACAGAGTCAATATATATTATACCCCCTTAAGTAACATTTAATGTTTTACCACTGTATAATCCATTTGGTCCGCCATTTCCTCATAACGATGACTTTCTAATTGATTTTTTCATATTCAGATGTTTGTAATTACAATAGTTTTACCAGTAAAATCGAATATCGATTCATTATTACTTTATTGAACTTCAGTTTTTTTTTTCAAAACTACCAAGATTGTTTAAAATGCAAATATCTTGTAAACTGTACGAAATTTGGAGGCTATCTTGCAGTCTTGTAGTCACACATAGATACGCAGTCACAATGCTGAACAATATGGCGGTACCATATCTCAATCTAGTCACACATAGATACTCAGTCCCAATGCTGAACAGTATGACGGTACCATCAAGTCACACATAGATACTCAGTCACAAGACTGAACAGTATGACGGTACCATATCTAAGTCAAGTCACACATAGATAATCAGTCACAATGCTGAACAGTATGACGGTACCATCTAGTCACACTTAGATACTCAGTCACAATACTGAACAGTATGACGGTACCATATCTCAGTCTAGTCACACATAGATACTCAGTCCCAATGCTGAACAGTATTACGGTACCATATCTCAGTCTAGTCACACATAGATACTCAGTCACAATGATGAACAGTATGACGGTACCATCAAGTCACACATATATACTCAGTCACAATGCTGAACAGTATGACTGTACCATCAAATCACACATATATACTCAGTCACAAGACTGAACAGTATGACTGTACCATCAAGTCACACATAGATAATCAGTCCCAATGCTGAACAGTATGACGGTACCATCTAGTCACACATATATACTCAGTCACAATGCTGAACAGTATGACAGTATCATCAAGTCACACATAGATACTCAGTCACAATGCTGAACAGTATGACGGTACCATATCTCAGTCTAGTCACACATAGGTACTCAGTCACAATGCTGAACAGTAAGACGGTACCATCAAATCACACATATATACTCAGTCACAAGACTGAACAGTATGACTGTACCATCAAATCACACATATATACTCAATCACAAGACTGAACAGTATAACGGTACCATCAAGTCACACATATATACTCAGTCACAATACTTAACAGTATGACGGTACCATCAAGTCACACATAGATACTCAGTCACAATACTTAACAGTATGACGGTACCATCAAGTCACACATATATACTCAGTCACGATACTTAACAGTATGACGGTACCATCAAGTCACACATAGATACTCAGTCACAATGCTGAACAGTATGACGGTATCATATCTCAGTCTAGTCACACATAGGTACTCAGTCACAATGCTGAACAGTATGACGGTACCATATCTCAGTCTAGTCACACATAGATACTCAGTCACAATGCTGAACAGTATGACGGTACCATCAAATCACACATATATACTCAATCACAATACTGAACAGTATGACTGTACCATCAAGTCACACATATATACTCAGTCACAAGACTGAACAGTATGACTGTACCATCAAGTCACACATAGATACTCAGTCACAATGCTGAACAGTATGACGGTACCATATCTCAGTCTAGTCACACATAGATACTCAATCACAATGCTGAACAGTATGACTGTACCATCAAGTCACACATATATACTCAGTCACAATGCTGAACAGTATGACGGTACCATATCTCAGTCTAGTCACACATAGATACTCAGTCACAATGCTGAACAGTATGACGGTACCATCAAATCACACATATATACTCAATCACAATACTGGACAGTATGACTGTACCATCAAGTCACACATATATACTCAGTCACAAGACTGAACAGTATGACTGTACCATCAAGTCACACATAGATAATCAGTCACAATGCTGAACAGTATGACGGTACCATATCTCAGTCTAGTCACACATAGATACTCAATCACAATGCTGAACAGTATGACTGTACCATCAAGTCACACATATATACTCAGTCACAATACTGAACAGTATGGCGG